CAGCGCCCCCACACACACACAGCATTAGACACACACAGCAGCATCAGACACACACAGCACCCCAGACACACACAGCACCCCCCAGACACACACAGCAGACACACACAGCATCCAGACACACACAGCACCCCCAGACACACACAGCACCCCCAGACACAGCGCACCCAGACACACACACAGCGCACCCAGACACACACACAGCGCACCCAGACACACACCACACCCAGACACACACAGCACCCCCTAATTTTTTTCCCAGTCCGGCCCTGACGTCAGGGGAGTTGTGTGTGGGGTGTTACATGGGTGTGAATAAAGTGTGGTGGGAGTTGTGTGTGAATATGTATGTGGAGGATGCATGTGTAAAGGCAGGTGTGTGTGTAATTGTACAATGCAAATTTTATGTGGAAGTTGGGGCTGCATGTTTATCATGGAACAGCCTCTCGTATCAGTAATGTGTGCTGGAATGGAGAGGGAAGCATTTTTAATCTCATTGTTTCAAGCATCCCATTTAGACCGACACCAGGGAATGCCTTTTTGGGGTCAAAGTTAGGGTTCTGTAAATTAGGGTTGAGGTGTCAGGGATTTTTGCTCTCCATAAATTTGCAGAGTTAGGCATACACCACTGGACCCCCCATTTTATTGGACCTCTGTATAAGGGCTATTGTAATGAGGGCCCACAAATGACTTCAGCCATAAATGCTTTGTAAACGGTCACTACATATCTCAAGGGAATAACCATGGTACTAAAGGTGACCACAATGACCTCAGATAAAGATCCTGTTTACTCACTGTTTTCTTACATAAGCAGGGGCTGGGACAGGGAGCAGGGAGGCAATTGCCCCCCAGGCTGCCCGAAATCCACGGCCATCTGTATCCAGCAAAAAAAAAGCCTATGGCTGGGGACTCAGATTTTTAACTTACCTCACTCTCCCTGCAGCCTGCAGCCAGTGGAGTGGGCCGGCCTCCCCTGATGATGTCAGGAGGAGATGGCGTGACTTCCACTGCTCTTCTCACAGGACCGCAGAGAAAGTCACGCCCCCTTCTCCTTACATCATCAGGAGAGACTGACTTCACTGACTGCTGTATGCTGCCCACCCCTCAGGGAGGGGGGGGGATACACTTTAGTTCTTTTTTTTTTATCCTTTATCCTTCCTCAGCCCCTATATGCTTTCTCAGCTCCTTTCCCCGTTCCTCAGCCCTTGTCTCCCCCCTCTCAGCTCCTGTCCCCCCCTCAGCTCCTGTCTCCCTCCTCTCAGCTCCTGTTCCCCTCTCAGCTCCTGTCCCCCCTCTCAGCTCCTGTCCCCCTCCTCAGCTCCTGTCCCCATTCCTCAGCCTCTCCCTCTCAGCTCCTGTCCCCCCCCTCAGCCTCTGTCTCCCTCCTCTCAGCTTCTGTCACCCTCTCAGCTCCTCCCCCTCAGCAGCTCCTGTCCACTTCCTCTCAGCTCCTCCCCCCCTCTCAGCTCCCCCCCCCCTCAGCTCCTGTCCCCTTCAGCTCCTGTAGCTGCCTCTCGCTCCTGTCCCTCCTCTCAGCTCCTGTCCCCCTCCTCTCGGCTCTGTCCCCCACCTCTCAGCTCCTGTCCCTCTCCTCTCAGCTCAAATCCCCTTCCTCAGCCCCCTTGTCTCACCCCTCTCAGCTCCTGTCCCCTCCTCCTCAGCTCCAGCCTCCCCTCCTCTCAGCTCCTGTCCCCTCCTTCTCAGCTCCTGTCCCCTCCTCTCAGCTCCTGTCCCCCTCCTCTCAGCTCCTGTCCCTCTCCTCTCAGCTCATGTCCCCCTTCCTCAGCCCCATGCCCCCCTCACCACAGCCCTCATAACATACCCACTACAGCTTCTCTCCCCCATTTGCAACCCATATCAACCACACCACAGCCCCATCCCAAATTTTAGCCATTAACCTACTTCAGCCCTATCTCCCCGCTACATTTCCTAACCCCCAAATTACAGCCCCTACCCAGGGACGTATTTGCGTTGGGTGGCACTTTCCAGGGGGCGGCAAAAAAAGCCGCCCCCAAATGTCAGTGTGTGTATGTCTGTCAGTGTGTCTGTCACTGTGTGGCTGTCTGTCAGTGAGTGAGAGAGGGTGTGTTGTGTGTGTGTGTCTGACAGTGAATATTTGTTTGTTTCTGAGTGATTGTGTCTGCGAGGGCGCCTGTGTGTCTAAGTGATTGTGTGTGTCTGTGAGTGAGTGTCTGTTAGTGAATGTGTGTGTGTCTGAGTGATTGTGTATGCCTATCAGCAGGGCCTCCACCAGAAATTTTCGGGCCCTGAACTGAGCTCAGGGTCTAGGCCTCTGGGGGCCCGCCTCCAAATCCCACCCACAGGAATACACACACAGACACAAACACATTCACTGATACAAAAGGACACAGATACACACACTGATACATACTAACAGACACACATACTGATACGCATATAGGCATACATACTGAGACATACACACATATACAGACACACAGGCGTACATAGTGACAGACACATACTAACATACATACAGACAAACATGCATAAGGACATACAGACACATGCATAAGGACATACAGACAGGCATTCATACTGGCATACATACATTCATACAGACAGACAGACATACACACATTCATAATGACATGCAGACATACATACACTGACATTCATACACACATACAGACATGCATACAGGTATACAGACAAGCATACAGACATACATTCATACAGGCACTGACATCCATACATACACACATTCATAATGACATACAGACAGACATTCATCCTGGCATACATACATTCATACAGACAGACAGACATACATACACACACATTCATAATGACATGCAGACATACATACACTGACATTCATCCACACATAATGACATGCATACAGACATAAAGACATGCATACAGACATACATACTGGAATACATACATTCATACAGACACTGACATCCATACACAAACACATTCATAATGATGACATACATTCATACTGGCATACACACATTCATACAGACAGACAGACAGACATACATACACTGACATTCATACACACACGCACAGCTCATTTTCCAGCCACCCTCCTGTTTCTTACCTTGTCTTTGCAGGAGGGTGGCTGGGGCTGATGGGACTGGGAGTCGGCTGGCTCTCCCTCTTCATTGCTGGGCGCGCACTCCTCCCGCGCGGCGTGAGCTGGGAGGAAGTGACCACTTCCTCCCAGCAGCACTTGCGCTGCGGCGGCATTTTTTTTCTAAAGGGGCCCAGTCGCGCTATACCACGGCCACAGCTCTGACCGGGCCCCTGAAGATATGGGGCCCATCGGCTGGCCCTAAGTGTGTGGGCCACCCGATAGGCCCCATCAGTGTGCGGGCGCCGGTGCAACCGTTATGGTTATCACCCCCTGATGGTGGTTCTGCCTGTCAGTGTGTGTCTGTCAGTGAGTCAGTGATTGTTTGTGTCAAATCGGTGTGTCTATCAGTGTATCTGAAAGTGTGTGTTAGTCATTTAACAGGAAGAGGTGTGGCATTGACAGGAAGGGGTGGGGCAAATTTAAATTAGAGGGTGCCCGAGTTCCGTCATGCCTAGGGCAGCACAGATACTAAATACATCACTGTCCCTAGCCCCCCTTTACAGCCCTGTCCCCTTACTCAGCCCATGTCTACTAGCTTTAAAAGTGTAAAGTTTGTGTCAGTATGTCTGTCTATGTGTGTGCCAGTTTGTCTGTGTGTCAGCCAGTGAGTGTGTGTTTGTTAGTGTGTGTCAAATCAGCAAGTGTGTTTGTGTGCGTCTGTTAGTGAGTGTGTCTGTTTAGGTAACTGCCCCTCTTTCAATCACATGGGAAAGGTGTTTTTACTCTCCTCTTGGTGCAATTGGCCACTTGACTGGATTTTACAACCCCCCCCCCCCCAGACCCAAGGCTGCTGGCCCTCCCCTGGTTTGATATATATATACCAAGATAATGGTGAGGTATGCCAAGTTTGCTGAAAGACAGCTGCCAACTCAATTGCCCAACCTTTGAAGAAAAAAAAAAGAAAAGAAGGAAATTGAAAACTGACACATACATAATATTATACATCATCTACAGTTAACACGTTGTGCAACAGAAGACTGCATTAAGGTTTTAGTCTAGGACACTCGGGTTTAATCTTCTCCACCTGTTTATACCTACCTATCATTTTCTCTAATAATAGGGAGTTAACTTTACAAAAGAAGAAAACTGTTTCACCATACCCCATTTCCATATAACTGTATGTTAAAGGGTTATTATTATTATTATTGCCATTTATATAGCGCCAACAGATTCCGCAGCGCTTTACAATATTATGAGAGGGGGGATTTAACTATAAATAGGACAATTACAAGAAAACTTACAGGAACAATAGGTTGAAGAGGTTTAGACCTTTATAGCCCTTCGATATAAGCCTGACATTGGTCATTAAGGGGTCCCTCAAACCCAATTATATACTTTAGATTGTAAGCTCATGGGCTATCTAACAAAGCACTTTGAAAGGCTAGATCTCAGCGTACAGGCTGGGCCCTCTTTACCTTTTGTATTTGAACGTCACTATTGTACGTTCTCCCCTAATTCTACAGCGCTGCGGAATATGTTGGAGCTTTATAAATGCCAGTAATATATAAATAAAATAAATAATTAAATAAGGGGTTAACACAGTCTGCAACAATGCAATCACCTTGCCCTCAGTCTGCATTCCCCATTTATACACAGTAACAGTATTTCACCTTCCTCACTCTGACAAGAAGTGTTGCACTTTTAATAGAGCTCAATAATAGGCTGTCACCTTGACCCCTGCCTGCAGGAATGAATAAAACATCACACTCCTCCATTCCCAATAGCTGGACTTTTAATACAGCCCCCAATAAAAGCCAGTCACCTTGCCCCATGTCTGCTCTCCCCCTTCTACAGAAATTAATAATACTTCACCTTCCTCACTTCCCAAGTGTTGGACTTTTAAAGCCCCCTCCGCCTGTGATTGGCTGCCGGGTTCGGTGACATCACGGCGGCCGTGCCCCGCCCCTCCTTCCGTCCCTGGGTGACTGGTCTGTGCAGTCTGGCAGCAGATCGGCGGAGAGAACGCGGCTGTGGCTGATCCTAGACCCCCCAAGGCGGATCACCAGGACCCCCCCAATAACTCCACAGCACCCTCAGCCAACCCATCACCCCAAAAAGGACCCCTGCCCCCCACCTTTACTCCATTTAAACCCCCTCCCCCCTCTCCTAGACCACCCTCTACCCATTGCTATTTATTGATTGGATTTGGGGGGGTCCCTGCAGAAAATAAGAGGGGGGAGGGTGCAGCAGGCGTGGATTTTACATTCATGATTATGGGCGACAAGAGGAGCCCGACCAGGTACAGTCCAGAAAGGGAAGGGGGGGGGGGTGGTGGTTTTGGGGAGGGGCAAGCAAGTGGGGGGGGCTGGGGGTTAGTGTTATTTATATACCCCCATTATATGTAGACAGATGGAGAAATAATCCCCCCCCAATTATCTCTGTGCCCTTGTAGTTGGAGACTACAGTACCACCCTGATCCCCGTTCCCCATTATGTGAGAAGCACCCCTCATGGTGTATTTGTTGCCCCCCTCTCCTATAGAGATGTATATGTCTCCTTATGTCTGTGCCAGAAAGTCCAGGGGCTGTGCTATGGCGGCTGATCCTCTCTGACACACACACACACTCCCTCCATAGAGCCTCAGACAAAGAGAATATTTACCAGAAGAGAGAGAGAGAGAGGAGAGAGAGAGGAAAAAAGGAGGGCAGGGTAGAGAGAGAAACGCCTCCACTGCCCTAAAAAAAAAAAAAATCTAAATAAATAGTACTGTATCTCTACCAGCTCTTCTGTATGTGCTGTGGTATGTGGGTTATTGATGGGTAAATGTCAAGGCTCCATGGTAGGAAGAGGGGACAAGAATTGTGTGCATGCATCTCATGGCATGGCTTCTTTGTCTTTTGCATGTTATTTTTTTTTCTTCACAGTGAGGTATCCTGTTTTGCTGTCTGCTAGCTTGTCACCCTTCTCTCCCCCCATCCTTTGGTGAGAGAGGGCCTCCATCAGTGAAGGGTGCAGGAAGGGGTTAATGGTAATGGGGAGGGGTGCAGTATGTGGTGGTGTCGGTAGGGGAGGGAGAGAGTGGCATGGTTATATGTCAAGCTAAGGATAAATGAATTTCTTCTGCAAGTGGCGCTGGTGCTTTCAGAGAGGCTGGCAAACCTAGTAGGAGACTGGCACATACAAGAAGGGGGCGAAGTCAGGGCAGGGCAGCTTGTATGGCATTAAGGCTGTAGACTATTGGGAGTCGAAGAACCAGTTCTGCACCCCCCACCCCCCTTCTTCATGTGTGCTAATTAACCCCTTCTGCGACTGAGTTGATTTTCTTTCCTTCTATCCTCTGTTATAATGCAGTCGTAATATCGGAATATATATTTCTTAGTCCATCATCATTCCCCTACTTCCCTCCCCCCCCTCCCTTGCAGGCATTGGACTGACAAACTGCATCAGTACCTAGCTGCATCTTTCAGGATGTAGAGCTCTGCATAGCCTGCCGTTATGTCAAGTTAAATTTAGGAATTCTGCAGCCCTCCCAGATGATTCGGAAAAACAGATCTATCTGGCTGCTGAAACATTTGAGGTGTCATAGGCATTAAGGGTGATAATCCAATTTTATTTTTTATTTTTATTTTTTAATTTAATTCTTCCTCGAACACTTTTTTTCTTCTGCAGGCCAAAAAGGCAAGCTAAACCATCAGCTGACGAGGGCTACTGGGACTGTAGTGTATGCACTTTTAGGAACACAGCTGAGGCTTTCAAGTGCAGCATTTGTGATGTCCGGAAAGGAACCTCCACCAGGTACTGTTGTGAATTTTTTTTTCTTCTGAGAAGTAGCTTTTGAAGTCAAATCTCGCCAGTCAAAATCTTTATTTGTTGAATCTATGTGCCTTCATCTTTACCAGAAAGTCATGATGTGTTCCTCACAAATGTTGTTGTGGTTTTTTTTTCTCCTTCACTTTTTGTTTTTGCTGTTATTGAAGACTTTAAAATACGAGCATGTCCAACCTCGGACCTGTAGCTATTGTTGGGCTAGAATGCTGAGACTTGGCCGTTAGAAAATGAAGATTATTGGAAAGTCTAAGATGGACACCCTTAGTACTTGTGGTTTTAGATAGTGCTACGTCATTGAGACTTTTCCAGGATGATTGGACATAGGTTGGGTATCTTCACAGAGCCAGATGTGTTCGGTGGTACATAATAGATCTCCATCATTGATTTCCCTTAGGAGCAGATAACTGATAACATTAATATTGATGGTAATGATGTATTGGCCCTCTCATTTCTAAAAAATTACTTTAGCATTCAAAGGTTTGAATATACATACTTTCCTTAATACCTAGATATTTTATAGATGTCTGTTAAAGCTTTGCTTGGAATTGTTTGTAAATTACATTGTTGGCCATCTCTACTATGGCACCCATGATAAGACCCTTGAATAGAAAATCTGTAGTGAAGATATTGTGGTTCACTGCTGTTTTGCACTGTTCTGAAACAGGCTGCATTGCAGCATCTTGTTGTATAAAGTGATGCATAGTTCTAAAAGTGGTGCAGTCACCATGGAAACAATGGAATGCGGTCTATTGTTTACCTTATCTTAGAATATTGCTCCAGAATTGCTCTTCGTACATCTAAGTTTTTCAGATCAAATTCTGAATTAACATTTATCTCAACACAACCCATTCTGGGCTTTGTACAGAAATGGTATTGTCGTAAAGAACATCCAGGTCAAATCATTATATTCTTTTATTGATATTCTAAATGACACTGCAAAATTATGCATTGTGTAATTCAGACCATGGTTGACCACAGGGTACATTCTCCTACCACCCCCAGCTGTTGTAACTAAAGGTTGTCAAACCATCATAGGAGTTGTAGTTCTATTACAGCTGGGCATCTTCAATTTAACCATTCATGATGTAGAACACTTTTCGCTGTCCATCTGAGGCTGGTTGGACTTTTCTACCCGTTTTTAAGCATTTCCTCCAAGCTTACCAGCCTTTATTGTAAAGACAACCCTTCACATTTTGATGAAACAAAAATAAGCAGCCAGTTTAAGAGTGAGAAGTGACGTGGTTTTTACCACAAATTAGGAAATAACATACAAGATCTCAAAACAGATGATTCATCTTGTTCTTTGAAACTTTGAGAAAAGAGACTGATGTTTTGCTGCTATGATGCACTTGAGCACGTTTTATCCTCGTGATTAGAAACGGAATGCATCACAATCTGTATTTATTGTGTGACTGGAGTCAAACTTCAATCCTCTCAGTCTTGCCAGATTTTCAGGAGTATGTTTTGCACGCTGCTCATTGATATACCAGTTTATGTATCATGTACTTGCTATTTAGAGAAACACTGAAACTCTGACAAGATGTATATCTTAAAGACAGATTTTACCACCTGTTTTGAGTGGTGATCATTTAAAAATTGCTGAATACATTGTCGCATTGTGTGACAGTCTGCAAATTGTAGTACAGTGGAATTTTGTGTAGTGTCACTTTTATTGTTGAAATATTGAATTGTATGTAAACCAAGTGCCCAAAAGACAAGATAGGTCTAAGTTGGATTGTGAGATATTAAGGTCAATTCGTCCAACCTGTATGTCATTTATAGGCTGAAAATGTTGTTTGGTGCTTGTTGGCAGTATAAATTTAGTGAAGGCATGAAAATGGTTTGGTTCTTTTATGACATTTCACGGCTTTTTAGTAAGTTCTATAGCTACATGTAATTTTTGATAGGTATCCCAGATCCATCTGTGCCACATTTCCTGTACAGTTAGCCAAGTATCATGGGAATTGTAATTCAAAAATATTTGACGTACCAAAGTATTTGTCACTGATATATAGCATTTACTTAGGATGCATCAAGGAACTGTTTGATACCTTGTTAAATTTGATTTAAGATATTGTCAATTGCAGATATTTGTACACTTGCCATCCCTACACATCGATCTCCTGGAATCGTGTTAAATAGAATGGGGCACATCTTGTCAGGATGTGGTGTTTATAGCAAATCGAAAATAATTGTGAAAACACTTCTAGACTTCTGCTCCCAACACATCAAGAGATGTTACGGAAGCATTTTGGGCATACAAATAAATCTTCAGACTCCAGAGGATATAACTGCATCTGTTAGCCTTGGGCAGTAGGCATAGGTCAAAAAGTGATAGTTCTCTTTTTAATTTTGTGTTGTTTTGTTTTTTCCTAAGCTGTCCTCAAGCAGAGCTAGGGATTTTCTCCCATCAGAAAGGAATTTGATGATCCTGATTTCTTCATGCATGACTTGGAAAAATATGGCTATAGTTTGCAGACCTGTTAAGAAAAATATAAAGCTTTGTTTGACCTTAATGTCTGGTCATTGGAAAAGTTGGTTTATTGTAAATGGCTGCTGTTGTGCCAATGACTAACCTAAAGAGTAAGGTTTTTAGGATGTCCTACAGGTGGTAATCTACGTTCATGTGTTGCTCCAACCAAGCCAGTAATAGCTGTGGTACACCTGATGCTTGTTGCTCTGCCTATCTACATTGTGGCTCTATGCTCTAAAATGTTTTTAACAATGTCTTTAAAAATGCCCTAAAAGTGTTACCTGACTTGGGGACGTTTTCCAGTTCATCTCTGTTGGCCTAAAACTTTAAATTCACTTTTGTGTACATCTCCATTCACAGTTTAGTGAAATATTACATTTGTTTTTGCTTCCCAAGCTTTTCTGTAGTTTCATATTTTATTCACTCTCTTCAGAATTTTCTTGATTTCTGAATGGTTTTAAAATCTTTTAGTAGGAAGTGAAATTTTTTGATGGGAATTTTATTCCCTATTATGTTAAAGGAACACTATATGGTCTGTGTTAAAACCACTATTTAGCCCCCCTGAACCCTTCCCCTCAGTTCCCCCTAAATATAGTAATAGTTTACCTTTATTACACTCTGCTGGTGCTGGCTCTGCCCCTGATTTGCCTCCATGGCTGACATCATCAGAAGTGATGATTTCAGCCAACCAAAAATGCTTTCTCATAGGATTGCATTGGATTGGTTGAGATTGTCAATTCTGATGATCTCAGCCAGGGGGCGGAGCGACACCCTAGACAATTAGCATCTACTCATAGAGATGCATTGAAAGTTAAGTATCTGCATGCAGAGGTTGTATACACTGAATGGCAGTGCTGCTTACTAAAAACATTTTTCTCTCTAGAACAAATACATAAAGCTGTAGTTGTTCTGGTGACTTTGGTGACTACTGTCCTGTTAAGCTGGTATTCTCTTTTGTTTTTTGTTTTTGCCAACCCCCATTTGGTGACAAGTCTGCCTGTGTGTGGCAGTGGGAGACCTAGTTGGTAGATACACTCACTTTAAGTTTTCTATTTAAAAAAAAAAAAAAAAAATGTTACGAGAGCCACTTTGTGAACACTCTCTCCCTTTTTTTTTTTTTTTTTTATATATATATATATATATATATATATATATATATATATATATATATATATATATATATATATATATATATATATATATATATCTTGCTGCTATGTCTCACAAAGTTTTATACAAATATTTTGAAAACTATTTCCAGCAGGCATCTTTTATGGACAAATGTTTATTTTGCTTGTGCATTCTTCTTAAAACCGAAGGCATTAGTTGGCAATTTTTCCCTTGAATGTGGGGAATGAATAGCCTTGTAAAGTGACTTCACCATCTTTCCTTTGAAATCCTAGATAAACTGAATGGATATAGTTTCAAAACATTGTAACTCATAATAAGCTGTTGCAAATGGCTGGATTCGTCAGATACAAGCATTCTCTTTAGTTTGGAACTGCAATACAGCTTTTTACTGTTACTTTTGTGAAAGCAGATGGAATTAATAACCAGTAGGTTCTCCCAACTGCTTTGGCAGGGGAAAAATCTCCATCCAAGTCATTCCTTTTGATGTACCAAGTTGCCATATACTGATTCAGGCTGTAAACTAGAAAGATTACCTCAGGGAGGCCTCTGGGAGCAAGCAGCCATTTTCTGTTCTGACAAAATGTATTTATTATGTAGCTGTGATAACATTGCTTCTAAGAAGATGCATAATCTCTCTCTGGACTGCTCTATGCTATACATTTAGTTTTAGCAGTGTTGCCAAATAATAGCTAACTGGTTCGTTTGTAACACAGAATAATAAGAATTTCAAAGTAAATAAAAGCAACGTAGCTTTAAAAATTGCATTTTAATTTTTTTAACGAGCGTGAAGTCAAACTTTAACCTTCTTTTCAGCATACAGCTTTTTTTAGGTTTTAACTATTGGATTAAATACCTAATACTTTGGATATTATACTTTTTTTTTTTTTTTATTTATTTATTTTTTTTTTTTATTACAAAACCGATCTACCTTTTTTTTTTTTGAATTTGACAATTTTTATTGTACAATGCATCGATATACAGTCGTGACATTTAAGTTACATCATATGCAGATTACACAATTCCACACATTCTTGGTAGGTGTTACAGACAATATGAATTCGTTTTTATTCTCCCCTATCCCTCTGGGGGTTCAGGGCTGTAGGTGGTCATGCAAGAGTGTATCGTGCATATCTGTGCTAGGTTACCTTCGGCCACCAGTGGCCTGATGCTTTGTACGTCTCATTGTCAAGCATCGTACTTTCAGGGAAACAAGTAGGTAGGATAGAGGGTAGATGTGGAGTGGGGATGGGGGGAGAGAACTTGGGGGGGGGAGGGGGAGGGGGTGTAAGAGACTGGTTGCGTGGTTTATGTCGGTTCTGTTTGTAGTCCTTCTGATCGTAGAAAGTCATTCCACCTGTTATGTGCTAAAGTCATGTGTTTCTTTTCTCCAAATTGTCGTGCATATACCATCTCGTAGGCCCAGTTCAGTTTTATTTGGTTTATGAGAGCCTCTCGTGATGGTGTTGTCGTTTGTTTCCATAGCCTAGCAATGCATGTAACTGCAGAGATAAGGATGTGGTATATGGCTGCCCACTTATCTTTAGTAAGAGAGTCTGGTGGTATGAATAGTATGCACAGTTCCAGTGTTAGTGAGATTTGCGTTTGTATGGTGGCAGTTATGATCTTTTGTACCACTAGCCAATAGGATTGGATGATGGGGCATGTCCACCAAACGTGAGACATGGTGCCTTTACTCTGACCACATCTCCAGCAGGTGTCGGAGGATCGCGGCCACATCTGGTGGAGTCTGGATGGTACCAAGTACCAACGGTATAACAGTTTGCGCTGCATCTCAATGTGAGTAGCACAAGATGTTACCCCCTTGTACGAGGAGTAAGCCTTAGTCCAGTCTGTCAGTGGGATTGTGCTGCCTAATTCTCTATGCCATGATTGGATGTGTGTTTCTTTGCCCTGATCTGATGCTTGGGTCAGAGCTTTATAGCTGATGGAAATAAGTTTTTTCAGTGGTTTTCTACGTGTGCATATCTGTTCAAACTCAGTCATCGGTTTTGTGGCTGTAGCAGCCGGTCCGTTAGGTTTGTTTTTAGCTAAGTAGGATTTAATTTGAAGGTAAGCGAAGCCTAGCCTGTGGGGTAACTGAAATTCTTGTTGTAGGTCTGGAAATAGTTTTAGCCCTTTGTCGTTGTATAGCTGCCCTATTTCTTGGATGCCCATCTGTAGCCATGGTTGTGTATTCAGGTTCGGTATTATATGTGCTAGGGTGCTGGTTGGGGCAGCCAAAGGTAGTGGGTGGTATCGCGTCATTAGGTGCTTCGTTGAGTCCCAAACATGTAGGGTGTATTGAGTCGTGGGTAAAAGGTGGCTAGTGTCCGTCCTATGTGATTTAGGTGTCCACAGGATGGAATGTAGTGTCGTTGGGTGGGCCCAGCTATTTTCTATTTCCAGCCACTGTGGGGCTGTGGGATGTTGTAGAAATTGTGGCACCAGCATCAATGTTGCCGCTTTGCAATATGCTTTTAGGTCGGGGAAGCCTAGTCCGCCCTGATTTATTGACCTTTGTAGTAGGTTGGTCGCTACTCTGGGTTTTTTATTTTGCCATGTGAAGTGTGTTAGCATTTTCGTGAGTGCTTTGATGTACTTATCTGGTACTGGAATTTGTAGTGTTCTGTATAGGTATTGGAGTTTGGGTAGTAGTGACATTTTTATGGCCGCGATCCGCCCCACCCAGGACAAGTATTTCCCCTCCCAGGAACTCAGCAGGGACTTAAAAGTTTCTAGCAATGGTTGGTAATTCGTCTTGAAGAGAGACATGGGGTTTTTGGTCATTTTAGTTCCCAAGAAGGTGAGGTGATCCTCTCTCCAGTCTAGAGGGAACGAGCTCTTAAGGTTCACCAGTTGTGTTGCGGGGAGATTGATACTTAGTGCCTGTGTCTTAGTGACGTTTAGCTTATAATATGACACTCGTCCATATTCCGTGATGTGGTGCATGAGATTAGGTAGGGATATGTGTGGTTGCGTGAGAGTGAGGAATATGTCGTCAGCGAATAGGCTTAATTTGTATTCTTTCTGACGAAGGGTTACCCCGTGGATTGCCGATTCCATCCTGATCTTGGCAGCCAGAGGCTCCAATGCCAGGACATAGAGCAGCGGGGAAAGTGGACAACCCTGGCGGGAGCCATTAGAGATTCTGAATTTGTCCGAGCAGAATCCTGCGTTTAGGACTTTAGCCGTGGGGCAGCTATATAGAGCCTCTACTGTGTCTGTGAATTGGGAGGGAAAGCCATATTTCATCAGTACTGCCTTCAGGAAGCGCCAATTTAATCGATCGAAGGCTTTCTCCGCATCTAAAGACATTAGTAGGCTACTTGTCCCCTTCCGTCTGATGCTGTGTATTAGGTCTAAAACCTTCCGGGTGTTGTCTGTTCCCTGCCTCCCTGCTATAAATCCCACTTGGTCATTGTGAATAAGGGATGGGAGAAGTGGGCCCAATCGCCGGGCATATATTTTGGCGTATAGTTTGGCGTCTGTATTGAGGAGGGATATTGGTCTGAAGTTTGGGCAGTGTGTTGGGGGCTTCCCTGGTTTTGGTAGGGTGACGATATGGGCGAGCAGTAGCTCTTCTGGTAGTGATTTGGTTTGGGTAGCGGAGTTAAAGAGAGATGCCAAGTGTGGGGCTAAAGCGGTCGCGAATCTTTTGTAGTACCTGTTTGTGAAGCCATCCGGGCCTGGCGCTTTGTTTTTAGGTAAGGTTTGTATTGCATCCTTCACTTCGTCTGGAGTGATTAATTTTTGCAAAGAAGTAATTTGCTCTTTTGTTAGCGTGGGTAGGGGGACCTCCTGTAGGTAGGATTGTATGTTATGTTCTGTCGGGTCAGGTGCTCGCTCGGACTGAGCCAAGTTGTAGAGTTTATTATAGTAGTTAGCAAAAGCATTGCTAATATCTATGGGGGAGATCACTTTTGTGTTGTCGTGTGTGTACAGATGTGATATTTTCGCGTTCGTTTCTGCTCGCTTTAAGCGGGCTGCCAACACTTTGCTTGCTCTATTTCCCTGGGCATAGTATGTTGCTTTGAGTCTGCGTAAGTTAAAGCCTACTCGCTGCAGCGTGTGTAGTCTAATTTTGTCTGCTACTTCCGCGATGCTTTTTCGTATTGCCTCTGTGGGATGCGTTTTGTTTTTGTTTGTGAGGTCTATTAACTGTTTGTTCCAATTTATCCATTGGGTCTGGTTACTTTGTTTCAAAGATGCTGCTCGCTTTAGCAAGATTCCTCTAACTACTGCCTTGTGTGCCTGCCATAGGGTGCATGCAGATGTGTCTCCTGTGCTGTTGAGCATGAAGTATTCTGTTATGGCTTCTTCTAATTGGTTGGAAAAGGGTATGTCTGTCAGTAGTGATTCGTTGAGTTTCCAGGGGCTCTTGTGTTTGTAGTCGTAGTTGTCTTTAAGGGTCAGTGTTAGTGGGGCATGGTCCGACCATGTGATTTGGCCGATAGAGCATTCTAGAACCTGGTCCAGGTGTGTGCTTTCCATATGGACTCTATCTATTCTAGTGTATGTATTGTGTGTGTTTGAGTGATACGTGTAATCCTTTTCTTGAGGGTGTAGGACTCGCCATACGTCATATAATGTATTAATGTCCAGCAATTTAAGGTATGATGCACAGGTCCTGCGATGTTTCGCGTGAACCTCCCTGCCTGCATGGGACGTTGTGTCGTTGATGGGATCTATGATGTGGTTAAAGTCCCCACATAATACCAGTATGCCCTCCTGTACTGGTCGCAATATGGATAAGATTCTGTGTAGGAAGTCTCTTTGATTCGTGTTCGGGGCATATACATTTGCTAGGGTGTATTTAGTGTTGTTGATTGTGCATACTATTATCGTGTATCTTCCTTCCTTGTCTGTCTGTGAGTAGTGGTGCTGGAAGGATACTGTGTTGCTAATTAGTATTGATGTCCCCTTCGTTTTTGTCCCTGCCGTAGTGTGGTATTGGTGTGGGTACAAGGATGGTTTTAGGGTCGGTGGCGTTTTGAAGTGTGTTTCCTGGAGGCAGATTATGTCAGGCTGATCTCTCTTGAGATTTCGAAAGAGGCAATGTCGCTTATATGGGGTATTTAACCCTCTAACATTATAGCTTTGTATTTTCATACTATAGGTCAGTGTCGTGAAGCGCTAGGATTCGTTTATGTGATCTACTTATGGGGTAGGCTGAACTTGTGGCTGATAGTGCATTGGATTTGTTCCCACAATGCTGGGCAGTAGTGTGGGCCTGAGTTGTGTGGTTAGTGGTGGTGATGGCGAATTGCGCCTGGCTTTTGGTGGGCCCAGGGGTTGTCATTTTATGCAGGTGGACGTCACCTTCTTGTTCTATGGGTGCATCTGTCTCTTGGAGTAGTGTCGAGGGGGGAGAGGGGGGGAAGGGAGTAGGGGGGTCATACTGTGAGGGTATGAACTTGGGGGGGGTAAAAACTATAGCCCTTTGGCGGGCTTTGGTTCCGGCTAGCGGTACCATGAGAGCGTGGTTGGTGTGAAGAAAAGAACAGTAGGAAGATTGGCCTGTGTCAGTCCGTTGTGACCGGCGGTTGGCCAGTGGGGTGCCTCTTTGCGGCTGTCGACTTTGCGGTAGGGTACAGTAACTTGGGGCTGCGGTTGTCCCTTGGGTTCACGCTGCATGCTTCAACATTGGGTTTTTTTTTTTTTTGTATTGTGTTAAGTTTCAGCTTGGGGCTCTTGCCGACGGGGGGGGGGTCCAGGACAGTAGGGGGCATAGGTTGGCGGTACATGACTGTGGTTGCTACCTGGCGTGACGCATTGGCTCGGTCGCCTAAGGTGTGTAGGAGGTCGGGAGGGTCACGCTATGGTCTAGTTGTGGCGGGGCGGTTCAGTGGGCGCCTCTTCTGTCCCCCGGTGGAGTTACTTCTCCTTGGGGGCCTCGTGGAGGGGAGGGCGTTGTATGTGTCGGGGCTATCCCATTGGCCTATACGCTTGATTTGCAACTGTCCCCCACATATTATGCAAACATCCAAACCAAACATATTGCAATACATAAGAGGCACCATTATCGTCTCCCGTGGTACAATCCCGCTCCCTCCGGGCCCTGAACGGGCTGTCCCATTCACATATACTCTGAATTGGCAACTATGCCTCATACATTATTCAATGCCTGAAACAATCCCATTGTGACACTTGGAACAATATTACCATTCTCCGTGATGCCTCCCCGCTCCCCCCGCTCCCCCCCGCTCTGAATGGGGTTGTCCTATTCTCATGTGAGCTAGACTTGCAACTGTGTCCCACAAATTGTTCAGATATTCAAGGCGTGTACAATGCATTAAATCATATTCACAATTACCCTTCCCCATGGTGCCTTCCCGCTGCCCCAGCTCCCCCGAGCGTGGCGACTTCCCCTGAGCTGTGTTGCGTCATCCTCTGGGGGGGTCCCCTGCAGCCTTCTGGTGATTGCTTCCAAGGATGCTGAGGCTGTTTGCCTCCCCGCAGGCTGCAGCTGTGAGTGTGCTTCTGCCTGAGCCTACGGCTCTAAAAGTTCCCGTGGCAGCGTAGTGTGTCATTTTGTGTCGCTTTATTGTCCCTGAGATTGGCACGTGTTGTGTGTTGTTAGCCTCCAGTGTGCATGCAGTGTGTGTGTTGCAAGTGAATGTGTTTTGTTGACGCATGGGGCGCTGCCAGTGTTGCAAGGGCAGCATGGGGAGTTATAGTGCCATAGTCACCTGCTTGAAATCAATAGTCCTTCTTCGTGGCCTTTAAACAGTCCCGCTTCTGTTAGTCGTGGTTATTGGAGGTAGCGTATGGCATCTCACGCCATCTTTGCTGCTGAATGTGTTGCAAGTGTGTGCTCCTCCGTCAGGGCCTCAGGGCTTTAGTTACGTACTCTTTTCCAGTCGGCTGTAAGCTTACTCGGTTGTGGGTCGTTGTCGCTTCTTGCTTGGTTCTGGGGTTGTATACCCCATTTCTGCAGTGTTTTCCGTCCATCCGCCAGAGAGGTGATAACGTGCATAGCTCCATTTTTATGTATGAGGAGACGCACTGGGTGGCCCCAGCGGTAGGGCACCTCATGGGAACGGAGGGCATCAGTTATTTCTTTATACTCCTTTCTTTTTTTCAAGGTCTGGGCAGAGAGATCTGCATATAGTTGAATGGTGTTGTATTGGGCTGGAAGGTCTTTGCGGAGCCTGGACGCTCTCATCAGTGCTTCTTTCGCATGATAATAGTGAAGGTGCGTCAGTACATCCCTTGGCGCTTCAGCTGGGAGAAAGCTTGGTTTAGCGACTCTGTGCGCCCTGTCCAAGAGCAAGACATCTGCTGGGAGGTCTGGGGCTAATGTTTTGAAGTAAGCCGTGAGGTATGCCGCTATTTCGGGCTGCTTCACCGTCTCAGGGATCCCCCTGATCCGTATATTCTGTCTCCTTGACCTATCTTCTAGGTCCATGATTTTATATTGGCAGGATTCCAGCGCCTGTTCCAGGTTGTGGACATGGTCTGCCATGTCATTGTGTGCGTCTGCGTACTCGCCCATGCGGTTCTCCATGCGGGCTGTTCTATCACCCAGCTCCTGCACGTCCCTTCTCAGGTCTGAGATGGACTTGTTGAGGCTGTGTAGCAGTTTGTCAGACATTTCTCCTAGGCAGGCCTGGAGTATGTTCTGTGTGACCGGCAAATCTCTACCCCCAGGGGATTCCTGCAGCGGCAGCGTGTCGTCGCCATCTTGGCTGTACTCTCCTGTGCCTTGGGCCTTAGGTGGCGGATTGCGGGCGGAGAAAAAAGCGTTTTTTTCGGCTTTGTCGGGGATCTTCTTCCCTTTGGGTTGTGCCATGCTTGAGGCTTGGTTTGGAGGTTAGTGCTGGTCACTGTCGCTGGTAATGTCGCTGTTTAGGCCAAAACAGAACGGAGCTCGCCTCACATGCGTCCGTTCGCGCCGAGCGTTAAGCCACGCCCCCCAAACCGATCTACCTTTAATCATGTGCTATCCTGGCCTTGCCTTGGAAGTCTGTATGCCTGATGTAAGATCTATGATGATGGTCTTGGTCCAGTCTAAAGCATCTCATGGTGAAGTTCTGGGACTCTACAACGCTTGTGAAGTGATTCTCACCATTCAGCGTTGTCACGCTGGGTGGCATAACTTAGAAAAAGCAAATTTGTTAAGAGCAATATTGTGACCGCTGCAACGGTCTTTATCAAGCTTGATGAAGACTGTTGCTATTGTACATTTTGGGCACCTGAATAAAGGGACACTACTTTCAAAAGGAAGTTCTGGATTTTATTTGCATACTTTCCTCAATATATATTGGTTTGGGTGGAACCAGATTCCTTGCACACTTGTGTGGGTGGTAGGTGCTGTTCAAAATGTTTAAGAATGGTTTGACATGTTAGCCAGTGTCAGCCCCGCACAGTTCCCAACCTCCACTATACTGCTGAGTTAGAGCCAGACACTCTTGCTCATGCAATTCTTATGGCTCCTGTGAGCTTAGCTGCTGGACTTGGGTCAGTGGAGTGACCTTCTGGCTCTCATTGAACAGTAACGGAGGTAGGGTGCACATCCAGTGGACTGAGGTAAGAAGTTAAACCGTTGTTAATCAATTTGACTCCTTACAGTTGGTTGGGGGGGAGGGGAGGGGGTCAAGGGCAATACAGGCATCTTACTTAAGCATGCTGTAGAGGTCAGAGTCACTTTATTTTTCTTTCTTATGTTTTCATGTGTTTTTTTTTTTTCTTTTTGAACAATAATTTACAATTCGTTTTTAGCTATAGTTAGATTTAAAAAGGTTACATACCTCTTATACAACTAATATCACAAATACCATTTTTGTGTAGGATTACAGCATAAATCTTTTTTTTAACTGTAGTTGTTGTAATAGTTAAGTTTCACACAAAAAATAAATGCATTTCTCTTTATTAATGTTAACAAATGTGTTGGACAATTATTTTACATTGGTAGTTTTGCAGAAATCATTTTGTAGTTGCTTTGTTCGTGTGAAAATTCCTAAACATCTTGCATAACTCAGTGCAGTTACAGTCCTGCTATGTTTCATTGCCATAGGGAATTAATCCACATAATTTGTGTTAAACCATTGTATCAACCAATCATTGTTTATAAATTAAACCGGTGTTTGCTAAACTCTTGGCTCGTGTCTGTTTGACCTCCCCATAATTATATGACCTCTTATGTATATTCATGATTTAGTGCAACTAAAGGCGCATGAATTAAGGCACCAGAAGCATTTTCATTGGCCCTCGGGCTGTCTGGGAATGTCACCAGTTTTATACCGCATGATTCTTTGACTAGCCCTATCCCAATCCTGCACTATATAAATATTAATGTATAGCTCAAATCATGCCTTTCTGTTGCAATGCATTCTCCATGTCTGACTATGGCATATGTGTGTGTGTGTGTGTGTGTGTGTGTGTGTATATATATATAATGTATATTTGTATGTATGCGCTTTTTTACACGTGTAAATCTGATCTTGGGCCACTTCACTTGATCTTTCACTGGTTCTAGATTAAGCTGAACAACAAATTGCAGGGTTGAGGAAAGGAGAACAAAGTGATGAAAAGTACCATGGAAATTGAGTGTGCATGTGAAATGAGCCTGTACAGCTGTTGTTCCCACGAGCTAGCCCTATATCTGTTTACAAGTATCCTCAGTGGTTAAGGCTGTTTCCTATGAATATTTCCTGTATGATGATAAAAAATAGGAAAAAAATTCCAAATCCAATCTCTTTGTTCTGTCTTCTCTTGTATTTATTTTTTGCCTCATTTGCGGTTTAACCATATAACCCTTTAGTAAAAAGGGGGAAAAATGCACTGAAGTATGTGGAAAGTCTTAGCTGCCCTCCGTTGCTATGATCTGAGAATTGACCACTGTTTCCCAAGGGCAAGTAAGGTGAATGAATTGTATTTCACAGGAGGTGATGTATTGTTGAAGTTGAATAAAGACAAAGTCTTTAAACTTTATTCAAAAACTATGCAACCTGTGACCCCTTCTCTTATAGCTGTTAATGTGGTTCTAATCCCAATCAAGTCTATTAAATGGCTGACAGTGATGGGAGTTATAACTTAAGCACCGTTTTAATTTTATTTTATCTTTCCAACCATTTCCTCTATTAATTCACATATTTAACGGATTAACATCTTGTGCAAAAAGCCACTTTTCATATTGTATTATGGTATTTCTGTTTATATTTTATCTGTATTTTTTTTTTTTTTTTACTTGCACCTAAGTTCAAATGAATTGATTTCGCTTTAAAATGATTTAACTGGGTGCAGGATGACGTTGTTTACATCATGAACGGTGGGCCTGCTGATCAGTGTAAAAGTTTAAGTATAAATTGGGTGGAGTGTGAAACTTACCATGCTGGTTGAGCATATTGGGAGTCCTAATCCGCAGGCTCTAGCCTGCCAAAGGTCTCTGATTCCTAAGTGTGTTGGCTGCATTTTTTACATTATCACTGGTATTACATGCTGTGAGTTATGTATATAGAATTGATCTGGGCCAAGGTTCTTAAACAGGTAATTGACATGAGCATTTATTTGGTTTCCAAGGTAATTGTTCAACTTCTAGAACTTTGCCCCACATTTGTTCTTCATCCACAGTCTCCTGTATGTTCACTCACTGCTTGGAGGGCTTGGAGTCCCTGGTGAACCCATGGGAAGGATTATAGTTTTGTCCATCCTGATTGGTCAGAAAATACTCTCAATTTGTTTTATTTTAATATTAGCATGTGTAAAGTGCTTCTGAAGTACTCTAGAATTATTATACATTAATTCTGCTAATTCTTTGAAGAGCAGATAGTTATGTAATGCAGTGATCTGATCATTTCATCATGGTACTGAAAACCGTGCAAAGCACAGTCTTACATTGGCACAATCGATATTCCTAGAATTACCTGTTAGGAAAGGTATGGGGATAGGAAGTAGTAAGAACAAAAGAGCCCCATAGCACCACTAGGCCACAAATCACACCCTGAAAGGTATTCTATTTTTTTGGTCAATATCATCTTGTTAAACACTTGGTCAACACATTAGTCCAAGCATAATCCGAGATGGGTTGGTGGGCAGGTTGTAGAACATTATGCAGCCGTTTGAGTTGAAAGAGCAGTCTAGAAGGGGGGTGGGGGAGGCAATGCCATTGTTTGCACTGTTATATTTAGAGTAATGGAATGCAAGGCAGATAACATAAGACAGTACATATTCATCTAATAGATATAATCAAATAAAGTCCTTTCTAATTTGAACTGTAATTTTCCCAACTACCGAGCAGAATACTAATGGTGTCTCTCTACACATAGTCCAGACCTCGGCCAAAAAAAGCATATATAATTTTTATTATAATTATTCTTGGCAATTCTAAGGCAAAATTACAAAAAGTACATATTTTTCCATGCTGGATGCTCTGGGGACTTTTTGTGCAGGACCACTTCTACCTCACTCGGATGATATTGGTTCTTTTCTCTAAAAACCTAATATTTATATAATTAGGAGTTCATTCACTACAGGCCCTTCTTCCATGATTTCAGCATGTCTAAAATTGCATTGTACTGACCTCTGCATGGGTAATTCTCAGAGAAGCCATGATCTGGCTCTTTGAGCACACATGATGGCACAGTCCTAGCAATGTTAGATGAGAAGAAGAAAACCATTATTTTTCTGACATATAGTGGCAGTACAATAGGGATGTACTCTTCCCTTGGGACAAGCATCTGAAATAAATAATTAACATAAAAAGTACCTCCCCTTACTTGGTATAAGAGACCCAACCAGCCCAGGGACCTCAGTTCTCTTTCTTGTTCCAACAGGAACAGATGGCATCTGGAATATGGATGGTGAGGCATAGCCTCCCAGGTGGAGAGCTGAATGGCCAGAAAACATCCTGCAGATTACGGAGCAGGTATGTAAGCCTGCTTTTATGCCGAGTGCAGTCACCGGCAAATCATTGCCCGTTGAAGACGCATGCGCACGGCGGTGGAACGCACGCCCGGGTGGGTTTGTGTTCCACCGGAGTTCCGACCGCGCTATTGCGCATGCGCGGTCTGAACTCCCCGAAATGGTGCCAAATTTAAAGGGGATCTGCCTATTTATGCTGTGCAGATCTTCCTGTCAGCATGGATACTCGGCAGTGAAGGTTTCCCTTGTCACCAGCCTTCCCACACGGGTCAGAGGTTTTAGAGGTATGATTGTTTAGACTCTCATCTTTAAAACTCTTCATATTTTTTTTTAAATTGTTTCTACAAAATGATTTATTGCTTATGTATTACAGATATGTCTAGTCCTGTCTCTACTGATAATATGGATAAAGACAAAGTGCCCACACCTGCTTTTAAAAAAGCCAGTTCCAAAACTAAACATCTTTGTTGTAGTGAATGCTCTACTCCTTTACCAGATAGTTTTAAAAGGAAAGTCTGTAATGTTTGCTCTTCCTTAACGCTAGAAAAATCCAAGCAACAAGAGATGAAATCCTTTTTGTCTTGGTTTCAGGATAATCTGACCCAAACTTTTGAGTCTTTTTTAAAGATCCTGCTCACACTTCTCCTGTAAAAGCTACTAAACAGAAGTCTAAAAGGAAGAGAACTCATCTAGTTCAGAACTATCCTCGGGTGAATGTTCTTTTTCTTATTCAGAATTATCTAGCGACTTCTATTTCTGAGGTTGGATTTCCTCATGATGAGTTGATAAAATTTATTAAAGAGGTTAATGTTATCCTTTCTGATGAACGGTAGATAAATCCAAGGGTAAAACACTGCCAGTCCAACTAAAAATGCTGGATTTAATATTCAGAGAATGGAAGAACCCTGAGAAAGGGGCTTTTGTCTCCAGACACTTTAAAAGTATTGTTAAAATAGAAGAGGAAGATAAATGGGAAGAATTGCCGGTGGTTGATGAACAAGTGGCTCAATTGTCTAAAAAAACTACCATACCTATTGGTGAAGTTTCTGGTCTGAAAGACCCTATGGATAAGAGGGCTGAAACTTCCAGCAGAAGGGCTTATCACGCTGCAGGTTTCCAGGCTAAAGCAGCATTAGCCAGGGCTTCAGTGGTGAGAGCTCAGAATCTTTGGCTTAACACTTTGGAATATGGTCTGGGTGATAACCAAGACAAAGGTCTTTCCCTCCTGTCACGGAGGTGATAAAGCTTTCGGCTCGTGTCATGCGTTTAACATCTGTGGCCCGAAGGGTACTGTGGCTTAAAGCCTGGACAGCAGACAATGCATCAAAATCTGCATTATGTGAACTGCCTTTGGAGAAGAAAAGGTTGTTTGGTTCTTCATTAGAAGAGTTAATCTGACAAATGTCGGAAACCAAGAAGGCCCTGCCTCAAGACAGGAAATATGCCTGGAAACCCAGGTATAGAAATTTCCAGTTCAAAAACTGAAGGGGTTTTCAAGAAAAACGCAGGTTTTTTCGCCAACAAAGAAAAAATCCAAGATTTGACACACAAAAATACCCTAAGTCTGACAGAAACAAACATTTCTGACGCCATCAGAGTGGGCAGAAGGTTGCAAGGTTTTTTGCACAGATGGAGGGAGACCACTACAAATCCATGGATTCTGAATCTGGTGCAAAATAGATACTGAATAAAATTCTTAGATGTTCCAAGACCGTGTTTCCTTGTCTCCTCCTACCGGTCGAAGTTAAAAAAAACCAAGCCCTTTTTTCTGCCACGGTCTCCCTATTAATAAAAGGTGTGTTAGAAAGGATTCCACCTTCTCAAGTATATCAAGGTTGTTCCTAGTCCCAAAACCTGACATGTCTTTTCGTCCAATCTTGGATCTAAAAAACCTGAACAAACTCATTCCTTACCAACATTTCAGAATGGAGACTATAGCGTCTGTCACCCATATCCTTTGAAAAAGAGATTTCATGGCAACTTTGGATCTAAAGGATGCCTACCTCCATATTCCTATGGATGTGAAATCAAGAAAATACCTGAGGTTTGCTATAAGGAAAGGGAAAAAGGTCCATCGTTTCCAATTCAAAGCCCTTCCATTCGGGCTAGCTTCAGCACCCAGGATTTTTACAAAGGTCCTCACACCGGTCACAGCTTTTTTTAAGGATGCAAGGAATCACAGTAGTACCTTACTTGGACGACTGGTTAATAAAGGCAGATTCAAGAAGCGCTCTAGAGTCAGATGTGGCCTATACGCTAGAAATCCTGGAAGAACATGGTTGGATTATCAACCTAGAAAAATCCCACCTTACCCCTACGAGGTCTATCCTGTTTCTAGGGTTTTTGATCAAGTCTGAGTCTCTGTCTGTTCATCTGACAAGAGACAAGAGAAAAAAGATAAAGATTTTAATAAAAAAACCTTCTTGGATGTCAGAATGTTCGGTGAGGAAAGCCATGCAGGTTTTACGTCATCTAACCTCTACAATTCCGGCAATAAAATGGGCCAGAGTGGACATTCTTGTCCAATGGTCAAAGAAGGAAGAAGACTTGGATGCTTTAATGAGTATATCAGATCATACAAAAGAAAAGATCTCTTGGTGGCTAGGGGAAAAATTCATTACAGAAGGCCTGTCTTTTCGTCAAAAATCTTGGATCGTGATTTCTACAGACGCTTCAAATACAGGTAGGGGAGCTCACCTCCTGTATCACTTAAGACAAGGTGTTTGGTCGAAAAAGGAAACAAAGGAGTCTTCAAATTTCAGGGAGTTGTTGGCAGTTCTCTATGCTTTTCAGCAGTTCAAGGATTTCATTATAGGAAAAGCTGTAAAGATCCAGTCGGACAATCAGACTACAGTCTCCTACCTAAAGAAACAAGGCGGTACAAGCGTAAAAAAATTGTATTTCCTTTGCTCACGGATTATGTCCTGGGCTCAGTCTTCTAGACTACATTTCCGCCATTCACATTCGAGGAGTAGACAACGTGGTAGCGGACGATTTAAGCAGATCAAAATGGTCCCAGAACAAGTGGTCTCTCAATACAGAAATTTTCGCTCATCTGGTGAAGAGATTCGGTCTGCCAGTCATAGACCTTATGGCAAGAAGATCAAATGAAAAAGTAAGATCGTTTGCCTCCCTCTTCAAGGTAGACAAGCCGCTGGTAATAGATGGTCTTTCGATCTGGTGGGAGTTTCCCCTTGCTTACATTTTTCCCCCAGTGAGCCTTGTCCCAAATATTCTGCAAAAGGTAACATCAGATCAAGCTCGTATTCTGGCCATAATACCGTACTGGCCAAACCGCAGCTGGTTCTCGGTTTTAAAGAAGATGGCTTTAACCCCTTAAGGACACATGACGTGTGGCCTGTCATGATTCCCTTTTATTCCAGAAGTTTGGCCCTTAAGGGGTTAAAGTACTGGATTCTCCCGGTAACACCGGATCTTCTGGAAAATAAGGGAATTCCAGTAGAAGTATTGAACATGTTCAGGTTGACGGCTTGGCTGCTGCACGGCTAATTCTGCATAATAGGGGCATTAAAGAAGAGAGGTTTCAGTTACTGTTAAATTCTACCAGAAGCTCTACTTCTTCTATCTACTTAAAAATTTGGACGAGATTTCTTAACTGGTGCATATCTCATCGTTGCATAGGATCCTCTCCTTCTACTGATCCTATCCTTCATTTATTGCAAGATGGTCTTGCTCAAGGTTTTAGTCTGTCTGCCCTCAAAGTCCAAGTTTCCGCTCTGTCATTTCTTGGTAAAAAAAATTGGGCTTCTGATCCTCTCGTTAGATTTTTTTTTTTTAAAAGCTGTTAGACTTGTTTTCCCTCTTGGGATTTGTCTTTTTAGTTTTGAAATCTCTGTGTACTGAGCCTTTCAAACCTTTGGAAGAAGCTTCATTGAAGAATCTGTCCCTGAAAACCGTGTTTTTGGTGGCCATTACTTCGGCTAAGAGGATAGGGGAACTCCAGGCCCTTTCTTCCTCTCCTGCGTTTACAAAACTTCTTCCGGATAAAGTGGTTATGTACCCTAAGCCTTCCTTTCTTCCGAAAGTCATCTCCAAGTTTTTAAACCAACCTATTTTTCTTCCTTCCTTTAATGGTCCATCTATGAGAGATTGGAAATTTGATTGGAGCCAACTAGATGTGGGTAGGTCTCTGAAAATCTACTTGGACTGCTCCTCTACATATAGGATGACTGATCATCTATTGTGAATTTCTTTGGAAAATTTAAAGGCCAAGTGGCCCCCAAGGCCACTTTAGCTAGATGGTTGGTGGATACTATTAAATTGGCTTATTCTTCCTCGAATCTACTTCTGCCTGCCTCCTTGAAAGCACATTCTACTAGAGCCATGGCTGCCTCTTGGGCCGAAAAAGCGTGTGCCTCTCCGGAAGATATATTCAAGGTGGCTACCTAGTCTTCTTTCAACACTTTTTTTTTTGTCAAGCATTACAGGCTAGACGTATTCTCTGCCTCTGACGCTGATTTTGGGCACAAGGTGTTACAAGCTGTTATTGCCTAACTTCCCGCCCTTAGTATGGGATCTCGATATATCCCTATTGTACTGCCACCATATGTCAGGAAAAACTGTAATTTTACTCACCGTAAATTCCTTTTTCCTTAATTTAGATTTAAATCACTCCCTCCCTTTATGTTTATATATTATATTTGGGTGTTCTATGGATTCACTGAGGTGTTCTTGGTACGTACTGAGGTCCCTGGGCTGGTTGGGTCTCTTATACCTGGTAAGGGGAGGTACTTTTTATGTTAATTATTTCAGATGCTTGGGAAGAGTACATCCCTATTGTATTGCCTTTTTCAAGAGATTAGCAAAAACATACAGCACCAACATAGGCTGCAGCGTAGCGTGTATATATATATATATCTCTATCTTTCTCGATGGACTGCTCTGTGCTATACATTTAGTTTTAGCAGTGTTGCCAAAAAATTGCTAACTGGTTCGTTTGTAACACAGAATAATACGAATTTCATAGTAAATAAAAGCAACGTAGCTTTGAAAATTGCATTTTAATTTTTTTAGTCAAATGTATATGTATACATTTTTTTTTTTTTTTTTTGGTAAGAGTCTCTAATGGGTTTTGCACGGTTTCTAGAGCAATTTGACTGCTTGGAGAGCTTACCTGATGTGAGATCACTCTGTTGGCTTTATTTGAATAAAGTTCCACAATGAAAGATTTGATTCTTTAATGCAGGTAGTTTCTGTCATCTGGATATTCAATGTGATAGAGCTACACTATAGTCAATGGACTGTGGAACGTCCTTAAGTGCAAGTTTCTCAGATAAGACAAAACTCTTACTATTGGGCCTTTCACTGAGCAGTGAGTACCAGTACATTAACAACTGCCTTTCAAAATGAAGACCGAAATAGTTAGCGTTAAAAACTTCCAGCTTGGTTGTGTTGGCACATATTATGCAAGTTATTCGATGCAAAGGATGGCACACTCCGGCAACAATAATGGTGCTATTGCCAAACATTCCGAAGACGCTACTTCTAATGTCAGTTCAATGAAATGAAGGCCAGGCATGTTGGTATAAAAATCTTTTATATCCAGTTTAGTGTATGGAAGCATTTTCTTGGGTCAGACAATGTTTGAAAACCGAAAGTCTCTATGATCTGCATTGGTGCAGGGAGTGAAGTGTGTGTGTGTGTGTGTGTGTGTGTGTGTGTGTGTGTGTGTGTGTGTGTGTATGTATATGGCTGAAAAGCCCTGTCTTAAAAAAAAGGTAGGGATAGATGTAACTTTCCTTTTCTTTTCCATGTACTTCATTAATAAAAACAAAAAAATCTATTTCCTTTTGAACACTTGATGAAAGGGTTATTCTATTAAAATAGTTTTCATTTAAAGGAACTCTCCAAGCTACTCTCTTAAGAAGAGGTGGTGGTTGGCACACAGCAGACCAGGTAACAGATTACTTACAGTGGGGTGAGTGCCAGGACACCAAAACCACTATAGTTTGGCTATGGTGCTTGAAGTATTCCTTTACTCTATTCATAGAATGATCATATAAAACTTGAGGATATCCTTCTGTAGGTCACTGGGGGCTAACTTTGGCTCCTAGATGTTTATGAAGTAAATTTCCAGTGTAGCTCTGCCAGCCTTTATCCTTTAGGCTTGCTGATACTGATCACTGTGGCGGAACCAGCCTCGCCACTGGGCATTGGAGAAGACTGATTGCCAGCCTCCTGCCCTGGGACTATGGCCCCATGTTGAAATGCTTGATTTTCCCTGTGACGGTACCAACCCCGCCACTGGGCATTGGAGGAGCCTGGTTGCTTGCATGCTCCCTCTGAACTATGGCCCCATGTTGAAACACTTTTTCTGCCCCTTTGAATACATGAGAAGGTGTGCCCCTCCCCTGTTTCTTGTCTATTGTTTTCCAGCAGGGCGTTGTCCCAGGGACACTGCCAGACCAGTTGGAACTTGTTGCTATGGTTTAACCCCATGGCGATTTGACTGTGTTTGTGGTATCTGAGCGCTGTTCGGATATAGTGAGCGCTCAGATGAATGTGGGGGTTCTGTTAAGTATAATAGGAATTATGTGTTATTTTATGTGTTTTATGTGTTTTTACTGTTGTTGTGAATAGAGCTATTTTCTGTATGCTAGAGGTAATTGGATTACCACACCCAAGCCATGCTTGCAGACGGTCACAAAGGGACTTCCAACTAACTTTTGTCCCACTGGACCAATTTGTATGATTTTGATGTATGTTTGTATTTGGAGTATGCTGAAAATGTAAGTTTCATGTGAATGTGATGTATACTTTTAGAGTTATGAATATTGTGTAAAACTGTGTATTTTCCTGCCTGTGATAATTACATTAGACATTGTGTTCAGTAATTATATCACAGGCAGGGGGGAGGATTTTGTGTGGAGTGTCTGAGTGTATTGTACGTATTGATTGGTTGTTCTGCAAAACCCTGTGGGCAGTACTGTGTGTGTAAAATGTGCATAAAAGCAGAGTGTTTGATTAAAAGCTTGAGTTCTACTTCACCCTCAATTTGGAGTGTCGTCTCTTATTGGGGGAATCTGCTACAAGGGATTGCTATGCTAGTCAATGCTATATCACTACTAAGCTCTAGTAAGAGCTTGTTCCTGTCTTGCTCTCTGAAGGAGTCTACAGTGGTTATGGTGTCGGCTGGAGTGCTTGGAGCCCTCAGGAAGCACTAGGAGCATCCTTCAACGGAGGTACCCAGTCGGGGTGCCAGGTGATCCGTTACAATCACCATAAGACCTTTCATAAACTCTCTAGGTTACCAAGGTTAGATATTACAGCATAAGGTTGTTTTTCTTTTTCTTTTTTTTCCCTTTTTTTTTTTTTTTTATGTCCTTTGAGCATAGGCTAATAAGCTGGCTTAACGCATTTTATTCAGGGATGCTTATATAGGTCGCACTAAACTGATGGATGGCTACATGATGATGAAGTTAATCTGCCGACAGAGTCATTTGTCTCCTGAGGACTCTGGCATCGAGCATGTCATTAGCCTCTGAAGAACTGCTCTTTACCATGACGTTTTGTTTGTAGAGCTACGGGAATCCACCGGTCTTCTGCAATAGAAGATCCAGGGTAATTTAATTTAGCTAATGTCTGATAGATTCATCGGAAAACATCTTTGATTTTATACACTTTGTGGCAAGATCTATTCAATTACTGGCCAAACACATTGATCACTAGAATTGAAATAGGTTTAAAGTGCTATTCAGAGTCGGCTCAGTGCAACAGCTATATATATATATATATATATATATATATATATATATATATATATATTTATATTTATTATTTTTATTGCTAAATAATTATTATTTATAGGGTACAGTTTAGCAGTGTATATAAATTATTTGTGCCCAGCTTCTCCAAGAGGTTCTGAGAAGATGATTTAAGGGTAAAGGTAGACCTTGTTTTATAAGGGAGAGATAAGGTTGCAGTTGACTTTTTCTTGAAATGACACTGATCATGAAATATTTGAACAATATCTCTAAGCCTACATTTACTGATTTACTGAACTAAAAGGAAAAATATCTTCTTAAATGTATTTATGGATCTAGGAAAAACAAATTGCAGAATAGATGTAGTGTAGAGGTAAGGAACAGTAGGATCAAATAAATTGTGAGATGGTTTTGTTGTGTGTGTGTGTGTGTATGTATGTAGATATTATTTTTTTTTTCCTAATGCAAAAACCCATCACATTATTAAATACATGTGTTTGTGTTCAGTATGTATATATTCATTTGAGAATGTGGCAAATATGTTATAGTAACAGCATACATATTTTATAAACACAAGTCTATCGATCTATATCTCTAGAGAAGTGTGGGAGGATGATGGCAAAAAGAGGGAAGATGGTCAGGATAGAAGGAGTTGAAGTTCCAGAAGGCCAAATAGAAGATGTAGAGAACAGCTACAAGTACCTGGGGGTTCTACAAATGCATGGCAACCATATGGAAGAGGCAAGGAGGATAGCAACATCCAAGTACTTCCAAAGAGTCAGACAGGTCCTGAAGTCCCAGCTCAATGGCAAGAACAAGATCCAAGCCATCCGCACATATGCCCTACCGGTCATCAGGTACCCAGCTGGAATAATAACCTGGCCAAGAGAAGAACTGGTCACCATGGATGTCAAGACCAGAAAACTACTTACTATGAATGGAGGATTTCACCCGAAATCCAGCACCCAGAGACTGGACACCTGCCGGAAGAAAGGAGGTCAGGGCCTGATGAGTGTCAAGGCCACAGTCCTGGATGAAACAGAGCATCCACAAGTACATCACGAAGATGTCTCTCAAAGATGAACTGCTAAGGGAATGCCTGAGATGTCAACAGATGGAGGATGCAGAAAAGACAAACCTCTCCATAGGGTGTACCACTGGCAAGACAAACCTCTCCGCAGGGTGTACCACTGGCAGATAGTGTATGTGGTTGTAAAAGGCAGGACTGAAAGACATCACTGAGGCACTAATCCTAGCAGCACAAGAGCAGGCACTCAGCACCAGATCAATAGAAGCTGGAGTCTACCACACCAGGCAAGACCCAAAGTGCAGACTGTGCAAAGAGGCCTCTGACACAGTCCAGCACCTAGTAGCCGGATGCAAGATGTTAGCAGGAACAGCATACACAGTAAAACTTAACCAAGTAGCTGGGATTGTGTACCGAAACATCTGCACAGAATATGGATTGGACCTGCCTAAGTCCAGATGGGAGAATACCACAAAGGGTAGTCGAGAATGACAGGGCTAAGATCCTGTGGGACTTCAAGATCCAGACAGAGAAGCAAGTGCTGACCAACCAACCCGACGACATGGTGGTAGACAAGTAACGGAAGACTGCAGTCGTGGTAGATGTGGCAATACCCAGTAACTATAAGTTCAGAAAGAAGGACCATGAGAAAGTGGAGAAATACAGAGGACTGAAGAACTAGAAAGGATGTGGAAAGTGAAGGCAGTAGTAGTCCCGGTTGTGATAGGAGCACTCGGGGCTGTGACTCCCAAGTTAGGGGAGTGGCTTCCACAGATTCCAGGTGGGACATCTGAGATCGCTGTCCAGAAGAGTGCAGTTCTAGGAACAGCTAAGATACTGCGCAGAACCCTCAAACTCCTAGGCCTCTGATAGAGGACCTGAGAATGAGGAATATACATACCACCCAGGAGTTTTGTTTTGTTTTTTTCCACACATACATTTTATAATGTTGTGATAGGTTTTTGATGTGGGATTTTGAATTGAAATTTTTTTTTTTAAGTTTTTGCGGAATTCTGCGTCTTTATGTCAACACAGGACACCCAGCAAAGCTTTCTGGGTACTGCAATTTAGCTAACAGCTGTATTAAAGGGACACTCCAGTGCCAGGAAAACAATCAGTTTTCCTGGCACTGCAGGTCCCCTCTCCCTCCCATCCCAGGTTGCTGAAGGGGTTAAAACTCCTTCAATGACTTACCTTTATACAGCGCCGACTTCATCCGGCGGGGGAGACCTATTGCGCATGTGCGGCCGGAGACTGGGGGAGACCTACCGCGCACGCGCATTAGATGCTTTCAATGCTATCCTATCGGGATTTCAGCGACGCTGGAGGTCCCCACGTAGCGTGAGGACGTCCAGCGACGCTATAGCACAAAAAAGTATGAAAACTGCAATATTTACAGTTGCAGGGCTAAGGGTATTGCACCCAGACCACTCCAATGGGCAGAAGTGGTCTGGGTGTCTGGAGTGTCCCTTTTAAGCTAACAATCCACTAACTGAACCTTGCTCTGCCCATTGTGCCCTTACACAGGAGTGTTGTGATAACATTACTGGAACACACTGGCTGATTATTATTGCTGGCATTTATAAAGTGAATACAAAGAAACAAGTCCTGCGCTCAAACTCCCATTACTCCTGTGCGGCAGCAACGAGCATAGTACACACCAGCCAAAATACATATAGTAAAAACTAAAGAAAAAAGTTACCTGCGCTCTTATCACATCCCTATGTATTTTTAAACAAATGGAGGTTTTTAGTTACCTCCAATGGCCATGAGAGGGTATGCCCACCTGCCACGTCAAGGCAGACCTCTTAGGTATTTTGGCTGTTGTGTACTATGGTCGTTGCTGCCGCCCAGGAGTAATGGGAGTTTGAACGCAGGACTTGTTTCTTTGTATTTGTATTCACTTTTGTATCACACAGCTAGGTTACAATGCCGCTGCCCATCCCATGTATTCCCTATTAAGGGTTAATAAGCTTGTAGGGATGTATATAAATAATACCCCTTTCTGTCTCATTAGAGAGGTTTTTGCCAGAAGCTCAAAGAAGCAAGGCAAATGGTTAGTTAGGACCCACCTAAGAGGTCTGCCTTGACGTGGCAGGTGGGCATACCCTCTCATGGCCATTGGCGGTAACTAAAAACCTCCATTTGTTTAAAAAACATAGGGATGTGGAAAGAGCGCAAGTAATTTTTTCTTTTTTTTTCTTTGGTATTTATAAAGTCACTGATAATTGTTTTGGCTTGGACATTCCAAAATCTTAAAATAAATAAAGCATTGGAAATGATTGCAAATGTAGAACCTTCAAATCGGTGTGTGTGTGTGTGTTTGTTTAAAAAAAATAAAATTAAAAATATATATATTTTTATTATTAAAGGCAGTATCTGACAATAAATTAATAAAGCAATAGGTCAGTTCCTGCATGCAATGCCCTTTAAGAGTCCTTACAGTTAAGGAGTAAAACAATCACAAAAGACAACATTCACTTACATTCACATACAATTTGATACTGTACAATTCAGTATTGCAGCTGCACAAAATAGATGAGACAAGATGTTTTTTTATTTTTATTTATTTGCTCTTTTTAATTGACTATTAATTAATAGGGTATAATGAGCACAGGTTAAGGGTAACATGACTTGCCATACATGACATTTCATCCCATGAAAGGCTACGCAGGGTTCAAATTGCCTGGCTAGATTTTGTTTCATTTTTAAAATTCTTTATTTTTGCTCCACACACAAGCATGAGTGGGATTGTGCATTGACAGTAAAAAATAGGTTACATCCAGAGCATATAATGGCAAGAACATAAACATAATTAAACAGTTGTAACTTCCTATGTCTTGGGCTCGTGAGTAGAGGGTTTTTAATAAGTAGACTAGTGGGGATGACCGTAACTGGTCCATGGTCCATCTCTGTTGCTTATGTCTAGTGGGTCCAGAGTAGGGCCAGTTATTGCAATAAAAGTGTAGGATGGGGATAATCCGTTTTGGGTATGGTGATCTTTCTAGGTGGCTTCACTATTCGGGCGTGCTGGTTGCCTGGCTGTGGTACAGTGCGACTGAGAGGGGAGGTTAGCGGCAACTGGCTCTGGAGATGGACTTTGCAATTCCCCGGCTCTGTTTCACCTGAGAGGTCAGCATAGAACGAGAGGGAAACTAATTGGGCAACTGTCGTTTTATTAAAGCAATAGAATCTTGGAGCTTTTTTCCAATGTTGTTGCTACTTTTTACCATCCAGCAGCTACTTGGTAACATGTCTGTCGTTACTATTATCGAGTAGCAACTGTTCACCAATGACAAAATTTCACCAGTAGCAACTGGAAGCTACTGGCTGCCGCTGCTTAAAGCCAGTAACTAAGTATCTGCGAATGGCTCTAGTTATTCCTTGTGGACACATTCTGATAAACTGCTTGCTAGAGCAGGTGAACTCCATCAATCAATTAACAGGAAAAGTTCTCCAGCTCTCTTAGTTTGCCCCATAACCTGTTTTGGAATTTTGCAATTGCCTGGTCAATTGTTAAGCATTTCATTCACTTTCAGGCAGTTGAAACTGATGCCGTGTTGGTTTATGCAGGTAATGGTAGTCAAGGTAATATCTGACACTGGATTTTCTGTATTGGAATTATCTGCTTTCCGCTTGAGATAAGGAAGTGTACTAAATATTTTACATGTCAGAAATGCAAATAGTAATTTTTTTTTTCAGATTAATGCTGCTTCTGTATTGTCAAAAAAGTGATCCCCCAACTCCGTTTCCCTTTAAAGCAATAGTGGTGACTATTTCTATGTATTGATCTAAAAAAAAAAAAAAATAACATAACATGTAGCACACTGAAATAAAATAGGTTTTAGCATGTTATAAGAAACAGTTAATATATATATATATTTTTTTTTATCTGATTAAAATAGAACTCCAGATTTATTTTCCGGTCTTTTAAAGCATATTGTGGTTTCCTTAATCCAAGATGCTGGGCATAGGCTTCATTGTTTGTAAATGCATGTGTGGATCAAGCTGCTGAAGCTTATTGTGTTGTTCTATGACCGTTGTATAAATGTCTCCTGTAATGCGAAACACTAAACCCAGCATAATGGTGTTTGTATAATCATGTGTTTTATTTTGATATATTTTCTGTTTAGTTGATGGCTCAACAACCAGTCCAAATTAGTGGTTTTCTCTCTGATTTTCAGATTGTGCCTGGCTAAAATAAATTGACTAATCTCTGTCCAGTAGATACTTGTAAACTAGTAACAAACTATATGCACATTTCCTTGTTAACAACATTATTATTGTTGTTCAAATGATCAAATATATACTGGTTTGATATACATTGTAAGTAATCCTGTGGAAGTTAGTCTTGTGAATAGGTTTACAAATTGAGGTACATTTTAATGGAACACTCTAAACATATTACAAAAAGTGCAGATTTAAAACAAATTTTTTTTTTTTAAATACCATTTCATATCTGAAATACAAAATAAAAATTCTTTAATATACGGGTGTACATATAAAAGCATGCATGCATTTAATTGATTTTTTTTGTTTCCCCCCTTTTTAAAACCACTTCAAAAATCTGCATATCTCTTGTCTGGAGCCTGTTTAAACCCTTTTTCAGTGTTTTTTTTGTTTGTTTGTTTTTTTTAAATGTGGGACTGCAGCAAAGTATGAAGCTTTTGTGTGTGAAAATGGCAGAGATAATGATTTGCATGAAGAAAAAAAAATATAAACATACCGGTAGTTTCTGTTACAGTTTACAGAGATATTTATATACTTTGTTTAATCTCTGGGGAACTGTGAGATTGTGCCCTTTTGCAGCTACTTGCAGTGAACATGTGAATAATCTGTCCTTTTTATCGACCTAGAAGCTCGACCTGTGTGTTGTAGACCATGCTGCTTGATTGCAGGTCAGTGGAGAGCAGAGCTTAATTAAGAGGGAGGTTCAAAAGAACGCCAAAAGGTGCCAGTACCCTAGGAGTAGATTTCATCAGCGTGCACAAAGTTTGCTGTCTGGACCGGAAAGCAAATGACTATATATTTAACTGTAATTTGTATTTTCAGGCCTCCATACATTCAGATACCTTAGGGAGTTGTAGATTTAAATGTGAAAAGCACAGCTTGGTACCTAAGAAGGAAGGGGATAGATAGGGTGGTGTGTGAAAGAAACCACTCAAGGTAGATCATCTTTCACAGTCATTCACAGATGCTAGATCCGCTGTGCTCAAAGTGATTGATTCATGGTACTAGCCAAAGTGAATCTATTGGCGAATGGATTTCTTCTGTGCTAGTTACATCTATTTTTGCTGATCAAAAAGAAGGCAAACAAATTAGGAAATAATCCTTCTTGACCCCTGATCCTTGGATCAAGAAGCTACAACCCCACTAATAAAAATATCACTGATTACTATGTTTTTGCAAGTATTCATCAAGTTGCTGTTTAAACATCTGTACAGACTCTGATAAAACCACCACTTCAGGCAGAGAATAGGTGTGTAACTTTGCTCGAAGTGGATAACTTTGTATTTATCTACAGTGATGAAGTCTGTTCATCTTGCTTATCGTGCAATGCTTAGTACATGTAGTCCGCTCAGCTCACAAGTTTCCTTGCACCCAGAGACAGAAAAACTTCTGCTTGCTTATACCTATGGTTTCCTAGATCTCTCACTTTGCTTGGAACTTCTTCATAGAGGGTAATAGGATTCGCATATTCTTCCATCATACATGCAAATACAACGTTCTTGCTTCCTTTACCAAACTTTGATGAGATCCCATCCATATAATCTGTAATTGTGTTTATTTATTTTTTTTATTTTTTTTTTATGTTTTTATGTTTTATCCATTATTCCCACTTAGGGATGTCATTGTGTATAGTATATCAAAATCATGTTAATGTCCCTATATATTCTAAAAATAAATTGTTGACTAATTTTTTTTCTATTGTACTTTGTAGCCTGCATGGTCTGAAAAAGCATTCTAGATCTCTGCACATATAAATGGGGGAATAGATGTGAATGAAACTTGTGTGTCAGAGTCCCTTTAACAATTGATGGTAGTAACCTCACTAATTATTTTTGTGGTATGTTGCAGAGCCGAAACAGGTTTAATGAGTTCCTTAAAGGAGACACCATCTGACAGGATGACACAAATTTTATATCCACAAAAGGAGTGTTCTAGCGTGTCTTCGAAATAATTTTTCCAAATAATAAAGGTTTACATATGGGTCAAGACTGACCTTGATAAAATTAGTTATGGTTACACTGAAACCATAAGGACTTTAACCTTATAAGAGACGACAGTGTGGAGTTGTGGATGGGCCTGTCACGCTAACTTCAGACCCCTCCCCCCCACTCCGTCTGTTGTTCGTAACCAGATCAATGTATCTATATCAATTGAGAGTGAATATTCCGTCTTGGTGAGTAGGCATTTACACCTGGTAAGTGTGTCAAACTTTTCTCTAGGCTTGAAGTGACAAGTGACATTTAAGGCCTGGGTAGTATTATGGGAGTTAACATTTTAATCCTTGATAGATATACAGTTTAAAAAGGTCACTCTCACCAGAAGTGAATGTCTACTCCCCAGGGCAAAATTCTCTTTCTTCTTACCTAAACTCATCACGTTATTTTCACTTATCAATTATATTTTCAGTATAATTTTTTTTTAATGTTTTCTCTACCCGCAACTCTTGCCCAGGAGTTATGTCTGTTCTGGCTTCTCCTCTGTAAGAATAGAGAATAGAAAACATGCCTTTTATTACCTTTGTTGGGGTCTTCCCTTCCACGTGAATTTAGTTTATAATACCTTCTGTTGTGCATCACGCTAGGTGTGTGACGTAATCCATCAATGATAGACAGCAAAAAATAAGCCTACCAGATACTTATGGAAAGAAAAAGAAAGGAAGATTGGGGGTAAAAAAAAAGATCAATTTTAGTAATCTCTGTATCCCCAGGTAATTAATATACTCTTGCAATATGTGGGATATTTTAAATAATCCATACCCTCTCTCACTCCTAAAAGGGAGGAGGAGTGTGTGGCAAATCCATAATCCATGTAAATTAGATTATCATTTAAATCAAAGGAATTGGAGGATGAAACTTGCCCCCTTTCACTTTTAGGCTATGGATACTGAGGGTCAAGGGGTAATTGTTTTGTATCTACCAGAAAACCTATTTCTATGCTGTAATTAACCCCCATGGCAGTGCAGATCCTTAACACTGTTGTAAAATGAAGTTTGTCTAACACATTGCTTATAAATAAATGAGCAATTGATACAAAGTTACGTAACCAGTGAGCTTTTTGTATCCTCGTGCGGATGAAATACAATTACATCCAAAAAAAAGGTGCTAAACAAAACAAAACCTATTCAATTCCCTATCACCCCCCCTTTCCCAATAATCTGACAGAATCAAACACTTCCCAGGTTGCTTGTGCTGTGAATAAGCCTTTTAGATGTAACATTCCCGCAGGCAGTCTGGGAAACAACGTGATATTCACACAAATACTCCTATCCCCCTGATGAATCTAAAACGGTAGCCTTGTACACAAACACTTCTATCCAGTTGTCTGTTTGATCTTTTCTCACACACTAGGCCTCTAACCGGTCACCAGGGATTTACGCTGACAGCCGTCTGTCGCTCTTCATAGTGATTTTTCATTTTTCGGTCCTGAAGGTGTATCCAGAATCTGCTGCTGGAAATGATAAATTCTATAAAGTGTCAGCATTAGGTGATGGTGAAGAGGTAAAGGGCATTTCTATTAAGTTCCTAGTTTTTTTTTTCCAATGCCTCACAGACCCTATATTTGCACTTTCATTGAACTCTGCTTGATTTCACTGTCTAGACCAGGGATAGGCAACCTTTGGCACTCCAGATGTTTTGGACTACATCCCCCATAATGCTCTGACACCCATAATGCTGGCAAAGCATCATGGGAGGTATAGCCCAAAACATCTGGAGTGCTGAAGGTTGCCTATGCCTGTTCTAGACTAGTGAAGTTGTTAAAAACATTCATTTTACTATCACGTTAAAGAGATAAAAATGTAACCAAGAAAGCTCTTGGCAGTGCTAATTTCATGGAAAACTGTGAACTCAGAGACTGTCAGAGTTGTCTAGGCTGTAGCAGGCTGTGCACATGCTTTGATTTCCTCCTGTGATATATGTGATTGAGGGAGCGTGTTTTAGAGCTGCGGTGACTGTAACCTTCCTTGTCCCACAGTCCATAGGGTAGCATAATTTTGTGTAATGCTTCTCTTACCATTGGCAGCCATATTTGTTCCAATGTCGTGAACTTTATTCCTCTATACATCTTATTCCATTCGTTTACTGGTTAAGACAGATGTGGGTAACATCAACTGCTTCGCACTTAGAAAGAAAGAAAACAAAAAAACGTGTGAGGTTTTATGTTAAATGAACAGTATTGTGCTAGGGGTTCAAACCTGTGTTCCTAGTGGTATAGTGTTCTCCTACCTATTTAGGCATCCTATACTAGAGGCTTGTTAACCCTGCAAAGTAAACATTGCAGATCTAGCATAGCAGCAATGTTTTCAGTTGCAGGGTTATGCAGACTAGGGCATAGCACCCAGACCAATTCGCTGGGATAGTCTGTGTGCTTATAACCTTAGTTGGCTCTATAGGTTCATGATTTATAACAGTTAGTTAACAGGCATTGTCAAGCCCTATTTTTCAACTGCTGTTTAGCATGATGATAAAATCTGAAATTCTCTGGACACAATGTATGCATTATTTGTACAGGCTAAGTGCATCAGCTGACCTGCTCAGTAAATGCTATCCAGATATGATGAAACTGATACTGCAAATTTTACAGTAGAACAAGTGGGGGCTTGGCCGTGTGTGTGGCTTGGGGTTTTGGGCGGCTGCCCTCGTCCCCTGCTGCAACGCTAAAAACAATATATGTTAATCAAAGCTAAATTATACCACCTAAGATTAATGAGGCACCTGTGGCAAAGAGGAGGTAAATCCTGCAGCTTGATAATAATTCCATAATACTTCCATAAAGAGAAAAAAAGCTAGCAATTACATGCATGTGTTTATAGGGGCTGAAAGGACCAATGTGTTTACATAATGCATTGGGGCGACACATTTCATGTATAATAAGCTATGGATTTCACATGGCTCAATAAACACCTGTTTAATATTAAAATGTGGTACATAGTATAATGTAAATGGGAAAAGTCATACCTTCATTTTAAATCTGTATTTTTCTAGATGTTCCTGCACTTTGTCGATCATTCTACAATATATACTAAGATAGTACACTAAGGGTTTTTTTTTTGTGGTTTTTTTCTTGCCTTGATCAAAGGAAAACTCTAGTGGGGGGGGGGGGTGGATATATAAAAAAATTATAAAGTACACCCCTTACATTTTTGTAAATGTTTTATTATCTTTTCATGTGACAACACTGAAGAAATGACACTCTGCTACAATGTAAAGTAGTAAGTGTACAGCCGGTATAACAGTGTAAATTTGCTGTCCCCTCAAAATAACTCCGCACACAGCCATTAACCCCTTCAGGACGGAGTCGATAGTACACGTTCTGATCAAAACAAAATGTAAACAAAAACTGGAATTTGCGCTATATGTCTGTTCAACCATAATTCACCTCTTTCATATTAAGTGCACCCACAGTTGTTATATATCAGTTTGTTCAGGAGAAACAGGGCTTTCATTTCATATCAAATATTTATATATGAAACATAATTTATTATGAATAGAATTTAAAAAAAACTGAGAAATTAAATGTAAAAAAAGAAAATTGTAGTTCCGCCTCACATTTTAGCTGTACATGTCATAATACTGTTAGCTTTTACTGCAAAACAAGCACATATTTGGATTCAGCAAAGTCTCACAAGTACAACAGTATCCCCCCACTAACAGTTTTTACAGTGTTTTGGAAAGTTTAAGGGTCAAATATAGCACATTCCAGTTTTCAGTTTTTTCAAATTGAAATTTGCCAGATTAGTAATGTTACCTTTGAGAGCGTATGGTAGCCCAGGAATAAGATTTACCCCCATGATGGCATACCATTTGCAAAAGTAGACTACCCAAGGTATTGCAAGTGGGGTATTTCCAGTCTTTTGTAGTAGCCACTTAGTCACAAACACTGGCCAAAGTAAGCATTCATATTTGTTTGTGTGGAAAAAACAAATATTTGCCCAGTGTTTAGTTACTAAAAATGACTGGACAAACCCCATTTGCAATACCTTGGGTTGTCTACTTTTGCAAATGGTATTCCATCATAGGGGTAATTCTTATTCCTGAGCTACCATACGGTCTCAAAAGGCAACATAACCAATCTGGAAAATTTCAATGTGAAAAAAATGAAATGCAAGCCTTATATTTGACTCTTTAACTTTCCAAAACACCATAAAAACTGTACATGGGGGGTACTGTTATAATTGGGTAACTTTACTGAACACAAAAAAAGTGTTTTAAAACCGTAAAACATATTACAACAATAATATCATCAGTAAAAGTGCCGTTCGTGTGAAAAATGCAAAAAAACGTAACTTTTACTCCTGGTGCAGAAAGCCATTACGGCGTTCTATGTTGCCACAACGGCTTTAAATTCCATTTAAATGGGGACGGCATAGAACGCCGTAACGGCATCAAGGAGTTAATGTCCAAACCGTTGGCAACAAATCTGAGTATACCCCTAAAGTGGAAATATCCAAATTGGGCCCAATTAGCCATTTTCCCTCCCCGGTGTCATGTGACTCAGTGTTACAAGGCCTCAGGTGTGAATGGGGAGCAGGTGTGTTAAATTTGGGGTCATCGCTCTCACACTCTCTCATACTGGACACTGGAAGTTCAACATGGCCCTTAAAATCGGTGAAGTTGTCATGGTGCTTAAAATAACAGTTTAATATTAGTTGCAGCTTTACTTCAGAGGCATTTTTCTAAAAAAATGTTGCAAATTTGATTGTAGCACACCAGCCCCTCTTTGGTGTGGTCAAGAATTGTAACACTCTGTGATATATTTAATGTGAGAATTCAAAGGATGATTTGTGTTATTGCATTTACTGAAAATTAATAAAAATGGAAGGCAAACTGAACAAAGGTCATCCCTTGGAATTGGTTCTGTGCATGAAGAATAAAGGAAAATAATAAAGGGGGAGGGGACGGGAATATTGAAAGAAAGTAAATTGTATTTATAGTTTTGTTGCTTTGGTATAATATGTTTGTGATTGTTTTATCGCCCTGAGTGTAGCTGCTTCCTTCCTGATTTTCATGCTGAGTTTTCAGCGGTGTCAAATTACCTTGCTCTTTGCCCTTGTAATCTTCCTAAGAGCCAAACAGCAAAATGCACGTAATCACAACAAATTAGTACACGGAGCTGAACTTGAATGGTTCTGCAGTGACACAGGCTAAAAATAAGCCAAAGCTTTTATCTTTCTAACAGGAAGCAAAAGGGAGGCATTTATGTTTCCAAATATATTTATTTATTTTTTTGTTACCTTTTAGTATTTTGAGTTTTTAGTGCTCATATTCAGTTTCTGCTTGTAACATCGCATGATCCAAAATTTACCACTTGTCAGAGGGGGGAGAGTGAAGGGAATGCACGCATGTGCAAGTGTGCACAGTGATTTTTGCTATGACATCAAGCAGCTGCATCTTTGCCGCGTCATACGTTGTGACGCAACTAGCCATTGTATCTATCAGAAATTCTGCAGACTTTCTTAAAATCTGTGGGGAATTAATCACACGGTCTTCGTTCATGTCCCCATGTCAGAAGTTGGTATTTTATTTTTAGGCATTTGTGTAGTTACGGTTTTAAATGTTTTTCAAAACACTTGCCACATAAATAGTCTTCAAATCTGTAACCACAGTAAAGGAAGGCTGATATCACTTTCGTTACTCATCTGAAACACATTGGGTGGAACACAGTGTAGTGTTTGTCTCGGTGAGAGTTGGAGGAACTTTACACACCTTGTTGATAGCATATTATAACTTAAAGTTCGCTGCTGGCATTTAAATTTTTTTTTTTATGTTTACGTCAATTTCAGATCAAGTATTTTTGGGAATAGTATGTCTGTACAGGATTGCTTACAGCGTCACGGGGGAATAGTCTGAAGGGGTATCAAAGAAATAAAATCAGCATCCCTGAATAGAATATGCAGAAGAGATCAGTTTGGTTTTTTAAATGCCTTTTCTGCCCCCTTGATAATAGTAATACTGATGATATATTTTTATTATTTACATCTATGTAGTGAAAACTTATTCCGCAGTGCTTCCCAATATTGTAAACAGGGAGATTTAAAGGGACACTGTAGGCACCTGAACTTCTTCAGCTCATTGAAGTGGTTTGGGTACAATGTCCCATCACCCTTAACCCTGAGCATGTAATTATTGCAGTTTTTATAAACTGCAATCATTTCCTGCTAGGGTTAACTCCACGTCTAGTGGTGGTCTACCAGACAGCCACTAGATGGGCTTCTGGGCTTCAAGGCTACTTTTGGTCACCTAAATTATACTTGACGTCTTTACGCTATGTATGGGGACTTCCAGTGTGTCAGGAATCCCCATAGGAAATGTTCATTAGGTCTCTCCCGCTGGCGAAAATGAATTTGCTCAAACAAGCTTACTTAAGTAAAGGTTAAGTAAACCTTTACCCAGGTTTTATTGGACAAGTTAAATGGTCACCTAGCACAAAGTTGACAATTCTCCTGTTGATATACTGTAACAATACATCGTAAATTGGTGACAGTTTACAAGAAAGTGTTACGTTCCCATTTTTTTCTTTTTTTTTTTGGACGCCTTGTCATAGTACCCCTTGTCTCTAATTGTGCAAATAAAACACATTTACCCTAAACAATGCAAAATCTTTGAAAACCACTCTCCTAAACAGTTTAAGTGCCATAAACATTCATAGGCATTCTTATGATTAGTGACGTGCGAACAACAGTGTCAACCCCAATTTGTGCTTAAAACCATTAAAGAGATGATACAATGACAATGTGTGCTCTGCCAATTAACTTTGAGCTATTCCCATTGTAAAACAGACTTTCAGTTGAGTGCAGGTGTCCTTTTTCATAACATTGTAATTTTGCTTTCTTTACAGATGTTTAGATCTCTTTATCTCTTTCACTCTAAGGAAAGCCATTCAGATTTTATCAGATTACATTGATGTAAACAAAAGGAAGCTGGAGTTTAATCAGCAGCAGCCCTTTGATGTCACAATGTGCTGAATTGCTTGCCTCCTTCACTGTTCCTGGTTCATCTGCTTCTGTTTGAAACCTCTGCAGAATTTGGATCTTGTTAGACATAGGAAATGGTTGCAGGTCATGTGACTAATCGGCAACAAAACCTAGTTTTCCTCATAGTGCTAAATACTCTACTTTGTACGCAGTATTTAAATAAACCTCCCTTTTTATTTGTTTGTTTAACCAATAATAGCTCTTGCAGGATGAATAATATTCAGCTTGAGTATTTAAAAGAATATTCCAAGCCCTATAACAACTGTAGCCTGTTGTATTGGTTTTTGTGCCAAGAGTGACCTGGCACCCTCCAGTGGTAAGTAGTCAAACTGTTTTTTTGTGAACAGTTGACACTCACCTCAGTGAGGTGACCCTGTCAGAAAGGGCTTAACTCAATTGAGCTAAGAAAATGTTGTGTTCCTTCATTTACAAACCTGCATTCCTAACACTATAGTTCCCTTGTACCTAGCACTACATATGTATCCCCCCTCCACCCCCATACCTTAAAAATAATAAAATAAACTAATTATGTAAAGTTTCCAGTGACTCATTTGGTGCTGCTTACCTCTCAACTTCCTGCAACATCATGGAGGAGGCATGACCTCCTCCGCCAATGGTCCAATCTAGTACTCCTCACAGAGGAGCATTGGAGACCTAATGTGCATGCACGGCGAGCATAAACATTTTTTATTTTTTTTATTTACTTATTATATAGTTACTCTTCACTGCTTGCAGCCTTGGATTTGTACAAATTAGGCAGGCATTTGAAATTAATTATTTAAACCATATGTTTAAAACTTATTTATTGCAAACCCTTCTCAATCTAGCTCCTGTATAGCACACAGGAATAATGCGCACCTTGCATTAACGTAATCAAAATTCTCTTCTGCGCCTCATCTCTTCAGCTTACGTTTCTTCTGGAATGTCATCTGAAACGTTTGTAAGCGTGCTTTTGCGAACCCTTGGGCTGTTGTTAAGCAGGCAGCCTCACTATGGGCTTTAGTTTTCCTCACCAGATGACACATTGTGTTAGTTTAACAATTCCACACGTGTTCTGGGTCAGGCACGCAGCCAAGAGTTCTGCGTTTTGCCAGCATGGGAAAATAAGCATTAGGATTTTCAGTAATCCACAGATCCGTCTCAGTTCGGCTCTTGTTCATCACAGGCTGAGCGAGAGAGCTATGGGGAGATTGCTAGTATTAGGTGGGATGGGTAATGAAAGGGTAGTTAGACTGTGATATGCGATTTTCTTTAAATGGAAAATATCTGTAAGTTGTGGTTTGGAAACCTACTTCTTGTTTAATTTTACTGATGCACGATACATATGCAACCAAAGATGTATAGAATTTGTAGTGAAGTCTATTACGCCAAATATTGATTCATCTTCAGTATAACAATGAATTACAAGCAGAGCTTTTTTGCCATTCCTGATGGATATTGTTCATATGTGACTTATGGCTAGACTTGGGCATGGCAAAAATGTGTTGCTACATCCGAATTGATATGGTTCGAATTTATGAAATTGTTCAGTTGTAAAGAATGTAAATGTGCAGTTCAATTATGCCTAGTTTCGATTATGGTCGGTCTGAATCTGTCTATGTATAGTGCAGAGGTGCCCAAAAGGTAGATCCCCAGATGTTTTAAAACTACATCTTCCATGAAGCTTTGTCATTCTAAAGGAATTCTAAATACATGCAAAGCATCATGGGATTTGAAGTTCAGCAACATCTGGGGATCTACCTTTTGGGCAGCCCTGGTATAGTGCATATAACCTAATCGGTTCTGCACGCTTAGAAAATAAATGTTCTAATTACCCAATTGCCAAAGTGGGAAAGACCCCAGACAGCAAGGTGTGACACACACACGCACATTCTAACTTAAAATTGGAGTAGTTCAAACCCCTGCTTAATGACATCACTTGCAAAATGATTCTTCCCCATGTCAATACAAGTATAGTTGGTGTATGTGCAACTTATATACCCACTAACTTTGATAGTCTACTCAATAGCATTGTTTATATTTTATCAGAATGCTGGAGAACACTGTAAAGCAAAATAGGACAAAATTAACTGTTATTTTGCGCAATAATTCTAATTTCAGTAAATTGATACAATGCCTCTTTTCCCCCATATAATTACTAATTAAAGGGACTTATTGTCACCAAAACAATGCTTGCTTAATGAAGCAATTTTTGTGTATAGATCATGCCCATAAAGTTTCACTGCTGAAATCACTGCCATTTAGGAATTAAAACATTTTTGTGTCTTAGTATGCAGCCCAAGTCACACCTCCCTGGCTGTGACTGACACAGCCGACATGAAAACAAAATGGTTTCACCTTCAATCAGATGTATCTTACTTTAGAACCTTTTTTTATCTCATGCTCTGTAAATTGCCCTTTAATTATATATAGGACGCTCCTGCAGGCTCTAGCAAGCTGTTAACAGAGCAGGAGATAGAAAATTCTAATTCGAAATAAAACATAATTTGCAATAAAGAAAGTGTAAACATTAGATGATTCTTTACAGGAAGTGTTTACGAAGGCTGTTTTAACATGCAGAGTAATCTCTACCTTACATACCTGTCTCCTGCTCTCTCCTATGGGACAGTGCTTTGCTCTCTCCTCCAGCTCTGCTTCACTCCTACTTGATATTTATTGTCCTAATGTTTCAAATACCCCACCTCCAATAGTCTGCAAGCTCGTTTGAGCAGGGTCCTCTTCAACCTATTGTTCCTGTAAGTTTTCTTGTAATTGTCCTATTTATTGTTACACCCCCCCTCTCAAAATATTGTAAAGCGCTACAGAATCCGTTGGCGCTATATAAATGGCAATAATAAATAAATAAATAAACATGCAGTAAGCTGTGATCTAACTCCTAAATGGCAGATAATTGAGCAGTGAGACAGCAGGGGCATGATCTATACACCAAAACTACTTCATTAAGCTAAAGTTGGCTTGGGACTATAGTGCCCCTAACTATTGTGTGGGACTACACATTTCAAACACCTCTGTTTGTTTTTACAGTGATTGTGGGAAATGCTCTGTACTTCCACCAAAAACAAAATAAGGGCAAGAAATTACTCATTCTCCTCACCCACATTCTCTTCTGAAAAGGGCTCGTTGTAGAAGCTGTAGAACTGGGTGTTTTCGGAAATACTTTGTATAGTGTTTTGTTATGGTGTGTGTGTGTGTGTGTGTATGTATATATATACATATATATTCATTACATGTATTACATGCAAGACCATTTAAAGACTTTAAGATGTCACAGTTTCGTTTTGTATTGCTGATTTGTAGCAACAAATTATATACATGCAGTAAACCTGTAACGCATACTGCAGTACAATGTAGTTTTTGAAATTTATCACTAAATATATGATTATAAGGTTTGTGTTTGTGTGTGTTTTCTTCCCTGTGGAATCCTGGAATTCTTGTAGTTTTTATTTCATATTTTGGTATTTTTTCTATAAATAATCATATTGTGTAATCTGTAAGGTTACTGCTGTCTATCACTAGTATTTAGCCAGTTAAGGTTTTGTCACTTACAAGCACTCAGCCTTTTCTGGTCTGGTTTTCCCCCCCTCAGTGTTTCCCCTTTTTAACCACTTATGTATCAGTATGATGTTTGCCTACGTTGTTGATGCTGTACGTGCATGCCGATACACAATCAGACTGTATCACGAGATGCCTGTAAGGGTGGATGCTTAGCCAGCCCACATGTTACTGATGCTGTTCAGTGTGCAATAGACAAGCCAGCAGATCCTGTAACAGGAAATTCTCTGCTGGCTAAAGGTCACATGAGGACAGGAGAGAATACCAAGAAGTTTCTTGCACCTCAGAGGCTCTATGTAGGAGCAGTAGAACAACAACAAATGATAATAAATACTTGGTCTTTAACCCTGCTGTGAAAATATGTTCTACACAATTTTTCACAAATGTAATTGCATGAAATAGTCAGAAAGTGGTGGTCAGGTGGGAGGGGAGAAATATACAAGAAATATTCTGTTAAATTTCCCTTTTCTCTCTTTTCACTCATGTTCAATTTTTAACACTTTCAATGCCTGAGGGAATGTGCCAACCTTTATGGCATGGGCATTAATTGAGCATTACTGGCTAAAAAAAATTTGGAAATCTAGGTAAATGGGACAGGGAAGACCTAGTCTATAATAATTCCTGTGTGTACATATATGTATGAATACACCAAGGTAGTAGGATCGTCATGAGCAAAGTAAAACCAGTAGAAAGAGTGGAGCAGCACTGTCAGATTGTAGCCACAAAGAGTATTTTTTTATTTTTTTCCTCCCCTCTCCTCATTATGTTCTCTTAGGTGGGCACTGTCATACTTAAGAACCAGGCTTAACCACCCCAAAGAGCACCCTCATCCTTATTAAGGAGAAGTAATGAGCTATTTGTAAAAGGCCAGTCTGCCCATAAACAGTAATGCAGGCAAAAGGGTGAGGTAATTAATAAAAAGGTGTAGTTATATGTTTTAAATGAGCCATAGGGTTGGAGGAGGAGGAAGGGGTTAAACACTTACCTTTCTGTAGCGGTGGGCTCCCTCAGCACTGGGGACTCTACTCCTCCTTCCGACATCATCGGCTGAATGCGCAGCAAGAGCAGCGCGCGCATTCATTCATTCCGTTCATGGGAAAGCATTCTCAATGCTTTCCTATGAATGGTGGCATCTTCTCACTGTGAAAATCTGTGAGAAGCGCCTCTAGCATCTGTCAATGAGACAGCCACTAGAGGCTGAATTAACCCATTTGTAAATATTGCAGTTTCTCTGTTTACAGCAGGCAGGGTTAACCCTAGATGGACCTGGCACCCAGACCACTTCATTAAGCTGAAGTGGTCTGGGTGCCTATAGTGGTCCTTTAATGTTTTGAATGACCGCTAGGATCTAGTATTATACTATTGTGACAAATAATTGCAATTACTATGTTTACAGTGGAATATGCACATTAAACAATTACATAGCAATCTCACACGTATCTTGTATCATGGAAAGGATCAGAAGTTATCAATGCAGAATATGTGATGGCAAGGCACATGTACACCTCTATTATGGTAATCGCTCAAGTCCACGTATAAATGTTTGGTTTTTCTCTTGTTTTATTTTTGGGGGGATTCATTTCTTCAAAACATATTCAGCAACCTGGGCTTATATCATATACAACCTGTGAAGGTCGGGCAGCCATGTTTGACCTTCGTGCACCCAAGTTTCAAAGCTTAGAATCTAAATGGGTTAAGGAACACTCCAATGTTAAAACCTAATATTGCGAATTTAATGTTGCAGTGTTCCTTTAAGTAGTGGATGCCCACTAATTTGCTTTTGTTTTTCTCTCTAATGGAAAGTCCTTTCTCACTGCTGCTCCACACCACCCACAGAAGACACACTGAAGTGCTTAAGTCTAGACTGTCCCTTTAATTACCCCATTTCAAAAACAAGTACTTTTAACTAGACGTGTGCATTCGTTTTCGTACGAATACGATTTTGGATGAAAATTCAGGTTTTTTCGAAAGTCCTACATACAAAATTTAAACTAAACGAAAGGGCAAATCCCGAATGCATTACCATTTCGTTCGTTTGATAAACTCCCTGATTGGTTGCTTTCAAAAAAGAAAGCAAGCTACCAATCAGTGTTATGAGTCAAATTAAACAACATGGGAAAATTCCAAAGAACTTTTCAACGCTGTGTAAAATGACACAGGGCACTCTGGTTGGATTTCAAGCCGACCAATCAGAGTGCTGTGACCGGTAAATGTGTAGAGACTTACCGGTCAGTCTCTTCATTTACCTGTCAGAGCACTCTGATTGGTTGGCTTAAACCAGGAGCACTGATTTATATTTAGTTTGAAATGACAGCGAGCAGCCACTTAAAATTGGATATAAATGTATCCTATATAGAAATGTTAGAGCTATTTGTGTAAAAAATAGCTACTTTTTCATATTGCAACATTGTTATAGTTTTGGTATAACTTTTGGTTACACGTACTCTTACTGTAGTTCTCTATCACTTCTATATAAGATACTGATTTTTATATTCAGTTTTAAATGTTTAGGCGACATGCCCTTACTACACGGAGGGACCTGGCACAGGTACGGGGATGTTGGAGGATTTAACCTGTGCCTATTGCACTAGTGACTGGGCAGCAATAATTGTCCAGTCACTAGTACTTTTACATTTGTTTAGGTGACATGCTGCAAGTAGGGGCATGTTGGAGGATTTAACCTCCCTTTTATTAATATGGGGGTCATAGTAACCCCCATTGGTTTTCGTGCGGGGGGGTAGGAATGGTTATTTATGACAAGGAGGGAGCTGGTTTTGCTGCCAGCTCCCTCCTTGTTTTTTGGGGTTTATTTTTGCGTATGCACAGTGCTGTTTTCGTCCCAATGGACGAAAACACATTTATTTGTTATAACGGATAAAATTCCGGATTGACCAATTAAATTTTTATTTAGTACGAAATAATTAATACAAAATGGCACATGTCTACTTTTCATATTGTTTCCTGGTCAGATTCATGTAACGAGTGTCTCGCTTCAGATATAGTGGTCATTAAAGGACCACTATAGGTACCCAGACCACTAGTTTTAACCCTGCAGCTGAAAACATAGCATTTTCAGTGAAACTACTATGTTTCAGTGAGGGTTAATCCAGCCTCTGGTGACTTCCTCAGTGACCGCCACTAGAGGCCGCTTCCGCAATTCTCACGGTGAAAATCACAGTGAGAAGGCGCTTACATCCATAGGAAAGCATTGAGTAATGCTTTTCTGTGAGAGGTTTGAATGCCCCGCATGCGCATTCGGCGCTGACGGCATTTGGAGGAGAGGTCATCTGGGCCGAGGGAGCTTAGCACTGGAGAAAGGTAAGTGGCTGAAGGGGTTTTAACCCCTTCAGACCAGTGGGAGGGGGGCCATGAGGGTGGGGGGGACCCAAGGAAACATAGTGCCAGGAAAACAAGTTTGTTTTCCTGGCACTATAGTGGTCCTTTAAAGGCAGCAGTTCCCTGCATAACGGGTCATTCTAACAGAGACATATTTCCATGTAATGGAATGCTAAAAATTATCTAGATTCTACATTGTTATGGTGATATAATGGGTGATTGGACCCTTTGTCAAACCATAGTGTCATTTATTATTGAAATTAAATGTAATTTGAAAAGAGACCGATGATCAACAGTTGTCCCCATGTGTGCCCCATTTCTCTTTTTGCTCTCTCCCCCCACCCCACCTTTTTTTTAAAATTTTTTATTAATGCGAAACACTATTCAGGTTAATGTATGTCGTTTTTTGTTTTGAGTTTTGTTTTTGATGTTGTAGACTGCCTAATTGAGACTGTGAAATTCTATCTCTTTGTGTTACTGGAAGCATGGGGTTTCCCCTGAGACTAGAAACTACAAATTATGGTTAGATTGTGACTGTGTAACTTTGACTGTTTGCAGTTCCTGCAGGTGAAGAGGACTAAATGGTTGGCTGAGGTCATGTCCCTTGGTCTCCTGGTCTGAATGATTTCAAATTTGGCAGTTATGTCTAAAACAGAATGCTCTGTTTAAGCAAGAGCCTTCAGCAAAAACAAAACTAAAGAGTACCTTTGGACCCAGATCCCCCTCTCTCATTTTTTTTTTTTTTATCTACCATATGTTTCGTAGGAGGCTGCTGTGTTTCAGCAATAAATATCACCTTAATCTCTCTTGAAACAGCAATACATGTGTTTAGAAATATGTACCGTATATACTCGTGTATAAGTCGATCTCATGTATAAGTCGAGTGCAGTTTTGTGACCAACAATTGTGAAATATGCTATGCCTCGTGGATAAGTCGAGGGTAAAACTTGGGGCTATGAAATTCTGTGATTTTTATAATTATATACACACACTCTGCATTAAACACACACACTTATACAAACACATACTCTGCATTATATATATATATATATATGTGTATATATATGTATGTGTATGTATGTGTATATATATGTATGTGTATATGTATATGTGTATATGTATATATATATATATATATGTGTATATATATATATATACACACACACACACACTCTGCATTATACACACACACTCATACAAACACACACTCTGCATTATATACACACACACTCATACAAACACACACTCTGCATTAAACACACACACTTATACAAACACATACTCTGCATTATATATATACACACACACACACACACACACACACACACACACACACACACACTCATACAAACACACACTCTGCATTATATACACACACTCTGTGTATATAATGCAGAGTGTGTGTTTGTGTAGTGTGTGTGAACTGGGTGGGGGGAGGGCATTTTTATTATTTAAAAAAAAATATTTTTTTAATATTTTTTTATTATTTAAAAATTTTTTTGCCCCACTCCCTGCTTGTTAACTGGTCAGGGAGGGGGGCTGTCTTAATCCCTGGTGGTCCAGTGGCATGGGCTGTGAAGTGGGGGGGCCGGCAGGAAGCATTTACTTACCTTTCCTGCAGCTCCTGTCAGTTCCCTTCTCCTCCGTTCCGTTCAGCTCCACTGTAAGTCTCGCGGTCTGGTTGCCGCGGGATCGTTGCCATGGCTCTGACGGCCGCGGCTCTCTAAGTTGCCATAATACAGACAGTGACTCGAGTATAAGTCGAGTGGGGGTTTTTAAGCACAAAAAATGTGCTGAAAAACTAGACTTATACTTGAGTATATACTGTAAATAAGATACAGGGTTATTCTAAATGAGATTTCCAGTTATGTAGATTATCTCTTACAATCTATACAAAACTTGGGATTTTTTAATTTATTTGTTTTATTATTGTTGTTACTGTAAAGAACCCCTTCCAATGTCATTGATAAAGTCTCTCTTCAAGTCTGAATGGGTGACCTCTTCTATTCTATTAATGAACATGTTATCAGAGAATTTATTTTACGGGCCCTGTTAATATTTGTATATTGTTGTAATATCGCCCCCGATTTTACATTTTTTTTTTCTAAAGTAGGCATGTTGATGTTTTTGTGTTTTTTTTTACCTTTCTTCGTAACTAAAATCTTCCATTCTCCAAATTAATTTTGGAACCAGCTGTCTTCTAGAACAGCATACTTTAAAACAGCTGCTCCATATTGCACTTTACCATTGATTTATAAAGACATGATTGTATTATCTAAGTGACCAATCCATTTTTTTCGGCTTGCGAAGCAGGCGTAACGATTGTACGTGAATGGTTCGTGTGTTAACCTTGTACCCAAAGCTTTAAGAATACACTTTGTCCCTAGAAGAATGTCGCAGTTGTAGCTTCATTTTTCAAGATGTTCTTTGTCCTTAGTCCTTATCTGTCACTACGGGACATCGCTAATTAAAAATGTAGGGTCAAGAGCATTGGGTCTCTTAACAAGATTCCTGTGTGGAGTTGCTAGGTTCACAGGGCCGCTCTGAATACTGTTCACAGGGACTAACATTGACCATCATTACACCACTTAAGTTTCTTGTAATGAAAATACTTTTTCTTTTGTTTGTTATACAGTTTGACATAACTAATTGCAAAAAAATGATGTCTTTATTTTCACATTGGATTCTGTGGTGTGAAACATGGCTGGGTGGGTTTGTCGTGCAGTAACATTTAGTGTCGGTCAAAGCATACAAAGCTGGGTCACACAGCCTTGTTCTGATTGTGTAAGTTTATAACGAGTCAAAACAGTTTTTGAGCCATTTGTATTTTTGCCTTGGGTGAGGCACCTCCTTCTGACTTTACTACCAATCACTGGAGACTGCTTAGGAACTTCCTGCTCTTGCATTGGTTATGGAGGGGTGAGTAGCACCCAGCACACATCAGGTAAGAAGTCAAACTGTTCAAAAATGGTTTTAACTCCTTTTAATGAGGGGGATTCACTGCCGGAACTATAACAACTTCTAGTGGTTATGGCAAGAACACATGAGCACACCTAGAGCATCAGGAGGTGACCGCGTTTCTCTGACATTAAAGTGTACTAACACCACTACAGCCTTAAATCCCTCGTTTACATGTATGATAATTTAACTTCTGTTATTTTGGTTGTTGCTTTTAAGTTTTGTGATTTATTGTTTTGCCTGTTTCTGGATTCTGTCCATACAGGTTTCACATGAACAAGCTGGTGTTTGTTTGTTTGTTTGTTTGTTTTTTGTTTTGTTTTTTAAATCAAATTCTGGTAGATCTTTGCTTGGCTCTCACATTTTCAATCAATAAGTGTGAGATTCTGTCAGCCACGAGACAAAATAATCACAGCAATTCCTTGGAGACACACAGAGAGCTATTGTTGTGTAGTGCATGCCTGCCCTGTGATGAAGTTTCTGTACAAAATAAACGTGATCCGAATGGCAGATTAGCCGCAAGCCACTTGTCCTCCTAGACATAAGTATTACTTATTTCGATTACTCTGCTTGTTTAAATCCCTATAAAACAATGTCTGGAAGTCCTAGGCACTTCCTAATTTTATGACTAGCGACAAACTCCACACAGGAAGGAAGTGAAGTACAGAACTATTTTTAAATTTTAATATATTTTGTGTGTGGTGGGTTTTGTGTTTTTTTTTTCTCCTCCAAAAATGAATAGCTTTATTACATGCTTTCGTTAAAAAGAACTGTTATTCTTCACGACTGTACACAAGACAGACCATAAATACTCACAGATACTTGGCAACATAAGCATTGCCGTTTAGGAAGAAAAGAAACTGTTTCTAAAGTCTAGACAGAGCATTGTTAGGCAAACGTGTAGCTCTCAAGCTTTCTTTTCCTTTTTTTTTTTTTTTTTTAATATTACTCTGCTTCAAAAACAAATAGTTTCTGTAGTATTGTGTATTTGAACTCACAAGGTCTACTGCAACAGTATCTGTTTGAGATTTCTGAGGTCGGTCTGTTAAAACACCAACTGTGATTGTACATTACACGTCATTTTCTTGTGTTCCGATCTCTTTAGATCTTCAGAGCTGACTCACTTAGCCTTTAAAATTAGTATAATTAAGTTGGGTAGTGATAATGGCTATCAATCCTCTGCCAATTCGTTACTCTTCTGTTTTCTTTTTACACCATCACTCTTCGTGACATTATTTTTTTCAGGTCCAATTTTAGGATTTTAGAACCCCTTTTTTTATGCTGTCAACCTGTCCTTCCAATATGTTGCCCGAAGTCTTGGAACGCATCCCTACTTTCCCCTTCTAACTTAAACCATGTCTACCATTTAAAAAAAATAAAAAAATTTTAAACAAACTTCTAAAACTGAACATCTAATCTTTCTCCATTCTAATATTGCACTTCCATCTATCTTGCTGTAAGTCAGTAAAACCTCCAATAGCCTAACCCACCAAGCTCCCACATTTTTCTCCCGACATTTAGTCTGTCTCAAAATTGTTTAACTTAACAAGTACACAAGACAGTACTGAAACATTGTCTTATCCTTTGAACTCCAAATAAAAGACTGCCTGTTATAAAGAAGCCAATTGGTGTACCCAGACATATGTTTTTGTTCTAATTGTTTAGCAACCATTTTAAAACAAAATGAAATAAATATTGCTTATACTCACCCCCTTTTTGAATGCTTTATTAAACTGCACTTGTTCATGCAATTCTCATTACCTGTTTTTAACTCCTTTATCATCAGCCTTCTGAATACTCCCATTGTCCCACTTAATAAGTCTGTAAAGAATGTTGCCACCAAGCTTATCTTCCTGATTCATTGCTCCTCACACCATTTTCAATTTATGGCATTGGAAACTGCTGACTCTAATTTAGAGAGCCCTCAACAATTCCACTTTGCATCACATTACTCCCTAGGTAACAAATACTCACTTTCTTGTTCCCTTCGCTCTGTGAATGACCTCGTCCTCTGTTAATTCACATAACCTGTTTGTTTTGTTTAGCTTGTTTTGGATGATAGACGTTTTAAATTAAATCTTGATTTTAAAGGGAGCTGTCACTAACTGGGATTTTTAATATTTTGTTTATTTATCCATACATTAACCCTTTAAGGACTGGACTGTTTTGGCCATGTTGTACGTTAAGGACCAGAGCTGTTTTAACACTTTTGTGGTGTTTGTGTTTAGCTGTAATTTTACTCTCTCTCATTTACTGTTCCCATACAAATCCTATATTGTTTTTCTTTTTTTTTCCAGGACAAGAAGGGCTTTCTTTACATACCATTATTTGTATCATGTCATATATTTTACTATAAATAAAATATGGCGAAAAATTGAAGAAAAAAAACATGTTTTTGGACTTTTTACTTGAAAAATCTTTTATTTATCTACAAAAGCTAATGATAAAAACTGCAAAATTAGATTAAAAATGTTGTTCTGAGTTTTAAAACTCCCAGTGTTGATCTGCGTTTTTGCTTTTTTGTGTGTGCAAGTTTTAGGGCTATAAGTACAAGTAGGACATTGCTGTTTCAAAATATATACTTTTGAAATGTATCAATAGTGACATTGTAACACTGTTATCTGTCATAAATCTCTGACTCACATTGAATACCCTGGGTTGACTACTTTAATTAAATGTTTAATCTATTTAATTAAAGTAGTCAACCCAGGGTATTCAATATGGGTTATGTCTAGTCTTTTTTAGTAGCCACTTAGTCACAAACATTGGCCAAAGTTAGCATTTATATCTGTTTGTGTGTTTAAAAAAAGCAAAAAACAATTATGAACACTAACTTTTGGCCAGTGTTTGTGACTAAGTGGCTACTAAAAAAGACTGAACATATCCCATTTGCAATACCTTGGGTTGTCGTCTTTTCCAAATGGTATGCCATCATGGGGGTAATTCTCATTCTTTGGCTACCATATGCTCTCAAAGGCAACATAACCAATCTGTCAAATTTCAATGTGTAAAAAACAAGTAAAAAAAATCAAGCATTATATCTGACCCTGTAACTTTCAAAAACACTATAAAACCTCTACATGGGGGGTACTGTTATACTCAGGAGACTTTGTTGAAAGCAAATATTAGTGTTTCAAAACAGTAAAGCATATCGCAACAATATCATTAGTGAAAGTGCCGTTTCTGTGTGAAAAATGAAACGTCACTTTCACTGACGATATCATCGCTGTGATATGTTTTACTGTTTTGAAACTCTAATATTTGTGTTCAGCAAAGTCTCCCGAGTATAACAGTACCCTCCATGTATAGGTTTTAGGGTGTCATAGAAAGTTACAGGGTTAAATGAAGTGCTAGCAAATTAAATTCTCTGGACTTTCCACCTGGGTTGTCAGGCAGGTCCCTCAAATAGCAATCAATAAAATTACTTAATTATGTAAAAATAATGCATAAATATGCAAGTAGAATATAAATATATATACATATTTATATATTTGAAGTCTACGTGCATATTTATGAAATTATTTATGTAATTTTGTATATGGACATATGGACATTTCATATTATTTTTATTTGTGTATATATAGATCATTTCATTCTAAGTGTATTGTGATATATAAAAAAAATATTATCAAAATACCGTTAGATTAAAATTATTTATATATATATTAGTTACATTTAAAAAAATTTTTTTTTACATTTTCTATTTCTATTCTTATTTATATTTTATAATATATATTAGTTATATAAATTATATATGTGTGTAATTTAATTATAAGTATTTTTATAGTCCTATATGTATATAAAAATACACTTTGACTATATATATATATATATATATATATATATATACACACACAGCAACTATTGCGGCCATGTGACCGCTCCGTAAGAGTGATCACGTGGCCCCGGGGGCCTAATTTGCCTATAGGCAGTCCCCCCCCGGTCCGGGAGCAACGCCGATCGCCACTGGGTGAACAGCTGCAATCAGGTAAGTACATAATACTGTTATGACCATTCAGGACCGTCATCGGTCCTCAAGGGGATGTTTCCGGTGACGGCCCTAAACCGTCATCGGCCCTTAATGGGTGAAACAAATTATGTTTTTGTAAGGTGTGAAAAATAAAATATAACTTATAAATCCGCATCTCTTCATTTTGCAGCTTGGTGTATCCATTTTGGCTCCCTTTCAGTCCTTGTAATAAGCACTTTGGTTTGTCCCAACTAATTTATGATGTTATTTGGTAAATCTTCAATATAAAGTTAAAAGAAAATAGAGCATTTCATGAAAAAAATCAACACTAGTTATAGGTGATTTTTCAGGGTTTCTTTAATGGTGCATTTTCCAAAGAAGCTTCCTTTCAAAGGCATTTCCTTTTTTTTTCTCTCTCATTTTTATTAAATCCTAGCACTGTTTACTGTAAAATTGGTTTTGTTTAGATTGTTAACATGGGTGAGGAGAGAAGGTTAAGTCATATGTGATTACTTGGCTGTGTGTTTTAAGAACTGTTAGATACATTGTTTAAATGATTTTGGTTGCATAAATCAAATCATTATTTTGACATTCGACTTAAAGCAGAGTATATTTTTATTTATTTATTTTTAATGTTCAGCGGACTAAAATATTTCTAACATTTGCTTGAGTGGGCATTAAGCATCATCAAATATATTTTGCTTTCCTGCTCAGTGGTATGCTGGAAAATACTTTAGGAACTACTCGAAAATGTGCATACTCTAGCTCATTGGTAGTCAACCTTTTTCTACCTACCGCCCACTAATGCATCTTTTTGGTTGAAAAAATGTCCTTACCGCCCACCAGTTTTCGCGCAAGTGCAGAATATTTTTTAGAAAGGAGGGTGTTTTAAAAAAAAAATAAAAAATTTACGTACATTTATCTTTTTATTTCTGCTTAGTGCATGTTAATAATGTTTTTTTAACTTTATAAAGTTTAATGAGAAAACCATAAAGTAAATTGAAATTACCTTTACTAGTGATTAATGAGATCCTTGAGGTTGATACTGCAAGACTAAATATTTGAAATCTGGTTCGATTTCCGTAAGGAACAAACGAAGGTCTCCTCTTTCGGTGATATTCAGACAACTTATCTGTTTGCGCATAATATGATTTCTCATCTGTGCGTCAGCTCCCCTCCTCTTTTCTCAATTCCCATCCCCACTTTTTTTTTAATTTTTTTTTTTTTTTTATTTTTTTTTTTTTTTTTTTTTTTTTAACCTTCCTTATAGCAATGCCCAGTAGGAAGGCTGAGCTAGGTATCCCACTTACTATTACTTACTATAGCCCACTATAACAGGCACACACACATACATGCATATATACATACACACACACACAGACAGGCAGGCACACAAGACACATACATACATACAAACAAACATGCATACAAAGGCACATACACAAACATACACAAAATATTTTAGTCACCCTCCTGTTTCCTACCTTTAAGATGCAGGAGGGTGACTTTCCCTGGGGTCCAGTGGTGGCTCAGGTGGATGGGAGTTAGAGTTCCCACTCTGACTCCCTGGTCTTCCTCCCGCGCGGCTCTCAGTGTTAATTGGAGGAGTGACGTGCAGTCACTTCCTCCCAGCTCGGTGATGTAATCACAGGGGGCCCGGTCGCACTGTTAAAGCGCCCCCTTACAATCCACATCCATCGGGTGGCCCTGACAGCATGGGCCCATGATGGAACCCTCCATATGCGGCACTGGTGGTTTGCCGCGCTGTAAATGGTGATGGCGGTACCTGGTCGCAGGGGTACCGCTGGCTCGCAAGCCCGCCCAGTCTCTCAAAATAAGAAAATCCCTACTGCCCACCTGGAATCCTGAAATGCCCACTAGTGGGCGGTAGGGACCAGGTTGACGACCCATGCTCTAGCTGCTGCCTGGTTTCCTGTAAATGTTTAATTTATATTTTTTTTTCTTCATTGCTTCTGCACAGATGAAAATCTGATATACAGACTTCATTACAGAATGCTGTCCGATATCTAGAACAAATTACTTAAAGTCTAAATGCCAAAACCACTGTAGACTCGAGGCACCACTTCTTGGTCCAGTTTCAAAACGTTTTCAAGTGGTCCCAACCCCTTGCTTGTGTTTGTGTTTGCCTTCAGTAATCAGAACATATCATAACAGTGTATGTTTTTAATGTTTTGTGGTTTGCAAATCAATTTACAATCATGACAAACTGACCACAAAAATCCTGTATGCCGTCCATTCCTTATTGAGAATACAAATACAAAAAGAAAAGTCCTGCGCTCAGTCCCATCACTCCTGGGCTGCACCCCCCTAGACGGGTCCTACACTGACCCTTCATCTTGCTTCCTTGAGCCTCTGGCAAAGATATCTCTAATGAGACAGAAAGGTATATATATATTTTTTTTATATACACCCCTATATACTTATTAACCCTTAATAGGCAGGCGGGCCTAGACGTTGGCAGGTGGGCATTCCCTCCAGTGGCCATTGGAGTAACTAAATGACCTCCATTTGTTTAAATATACATAGGGATTAAGGAGAGGGCGCAGGTAACTTTTTTTTTTTTTTTTTTTTCCTTATTGGGAATAACCCATTTATTTTTTCTTGGTTGCATTCATTGCATAATAAATATAATCTTATCTTTTATCTTTACATAATAAAAATGATTATTAAAAATAGTGAACCTGGATCACTTTAAAAATACAGATATTTATGAATTTTCTTGCGGTGAACCTTTCCCATACACTCATACCCAATGAAATGTGGAGTTCCTCTAAAATCCACACAAACTCATTTTCCTGGCACTATAGTGTTAATAGGTCCCCTCCCCCCCCCACCCTCAGGGTCCCCCTCCTGCCGGGCTCTATGTGGAGGAAGGGGTTAAAGGCTTACCTTTCTCCAGCACCAGGTTCCCTCGGCCCTGGGGATTCTCCTCCTTCCGCCGAATGCGCATGCGCGGCAAGAGCCATGACATGGTCGGACCATGCACCGATCACAATGACTGTGACCTCCCCTCTCTTTGAGCCCCGTACCACACACTGGTGCCTTAACGAAACTCTCTTCTCTGACACGACCCTGGTTAAAGACGCGCACACACAACACTGACGCCGACACACCCGCCCATATTATCTGGGAGGCCCATAAGTGCACAATACAGGGATTCTTCTTGGCAAGGTGCGCCACTCTGTAGAAAAACCGAGAGACTACGTTCAGAGACCTCACAGATAAAATCCAGGACTTGGAAACTCGACACAAAACTGCCCACAACCTAGACACATATGAAGAGCTAGCAGAAGTGAGAGGGCAACTATCCTCTCTCCTCCGATAACGCAACCAACACTCTTGAGCACCCTAAAGCATTCTTCTACATAAATAGTGATGAATGCAGCAAACTTCTTGCCGCACTTATATATAAGAAACTGAATAAGATGTATATTACCGACCTACGCGACACCCAGGGCCAACCACAGAAGATGCCAACACGCATTGCCGAAGTAGCACGCAACCTCTTCAAAAACCTGTACTCAAAGAACTTGCCCGCAGGCACACCCCAGACCACCAACACCATACGAATTTACCTGGCCGATAATCTGCACATGAAACTCCCGGAGGCAGCGTCTGAGGTGCTGGAAGCCCCCCTGACTATGGAGGAATTAGCACTCTGCAAGAGCCCGGGCCCTGAGGGACTGACAATACGATATTATAAACTGTTCTCAGATGTCCTATCTACACATTTCCTGTCCGCCTACAACTCATTGACCCAGGGACAGAAGCTTACCTGCCAGATGCTTGAGGCAAACATAACCCTGATACGTAATGAGGGAAAGGACAAGGAACACTGCGCCAACTACCGGCCAGTATCCCTATTGAACTGCTTTTTGCTAAGATCTTGGCATTCAGGCTGACACCCTACCTGCCATTCCTTGTGAAACCAGACTAAGTGGGGTTCATACCGCACAGGGAGGCGAGGGACAACAACGCTAGGACCCTGTCCCTGATCCACCATGCTCAGCAGACAAACACAGGCCTTCTCTTGCTTTCAACTGATGCAGAGAAGGCCTTTGACAGAGTAAGCTGGAATTTCCTGTTCAGCGCGCTCCTAGCTCTGGGGGTGGGACCGAATATGTATAAGTGGATTACAGAACTGTATGCCGACCCATCGGCCTGCATTAACAGAACTTACACAGAAGCATTCCACATCCATAAGTGGAGCAGACAAGGCTGTCCACTTTCGCCTCTGCTGTTCGTTTTGGCCCTGGCCTCTTGCAGGCAATCAGGAGAACCCCATATCAGAGGACTCGTGACAGGAGACTCAACATTTTCTTCGTCTCCCTGCCTGATACAATCCTCCCCAACATGTTGCGGAAATTTGAAATCTACGGAAGGATCTCTAACTTTAAGATTAACCTCACAAAATCAAATCTGCTCAACATCAACTTAAAGGCAGAGAGGGCCGACGTACTGCGCTAAAGCTTCCACTTCCACTGGTCTGATGGGGTGATTAAGTACCTGGGGACGTGGATACCCAGAGTTCTCGCCCAACTCTATAGCCTCAACTTCACTCTGATGCTAAACAATTTCAAAAAAAACCTTGAAGCATGGAAACTGCCTCACTTGTCCTGGCACGGCTGCTTAGCAGTGAGAAAAATGAATCTCCTTCATTGCATATTGTACCTGTTCCAGACACTCCATACAGATCCCGACAGTGTACTTTACGTCTTTGAGGTCCCCCCCACCGCCCCCCTCCTTATATGGGAAAATGGGAAACCATTAACGGGAGACACTTTCACAGAACAATGGGTAAAAATATGCAACCTTACACACCACTGTGCACTGGCAAGTAAAACCCAGGAGATGGCATACAACGTTTTGACCCTATGGTATAAAACACAGCAAATCTTGCACAAAATGAGCGACAGGTGCTGGCGATGCCACACCAGATTGGGCACATTTCTACACATATGGTGGGAATGCCCGAAAGTAGTCCCATACTGGAGAACGATCAGCAGGGTGTTACAAAAGTTATCCGACAACCCACCCCACTTTAGACCTACAGTTCCTCTTACATCACACTACGACCCCAACAGCCAAATATAAGAAATCCCTGATCATACGGGTACTGAACACAGTGAAACATATTTTACCTCTCTACTGGAAGACTCACATCCTCTCCACTAATGACCTGGTTTGAGAGAATGGAGCAGCTACGTGGATTCGAAGACTTGACAATCACGGCACAGGGACGCTCACAAATGTACTTAGACATCTGGACACATTGGCTAGTAGAAGTCTATTGCACAGATTTTCAAAACATGCTGACATATTGCCGACTTCTGTTAAGTTGTCTTGCTCTGCATTATACGCAGGTTGCCACTTCAATGACATTTATGATGTGTGGAATTGTTTGTTTCCTGCATATAGAAGCCCTGCGTGGCTGGTAATTTGGACGCTCATTTACATGCAATGGACCTACCTCTTTCTTGTAAGTTAAAACGTGATGCCACACTGAATGACAAACAATAATATAAATGCTACAAACACAAAAACAAAACACAAACAAACTAACAACCTCACAATATTAGCATACGCAAACTGATTGCGACACACCATAACGAAAACAAACAAGACAACAAATTCCTAAATTTACACTCAGAGACAATAAACAGCTCACAGGGCCGCTTGATAATCTCTGTTAATATGGTTATAAGATCTACGTTACGGGACCTGCAAGTCTCTTCCTTTCCAATATGTTACCAGACCAGCGTGTCTGCATCTTTTGCATTTCAAGTTAAGTATCTTATGTGCGAGTCCTGCGAGTCTCGATCTCTCGCCACAATATATGATTATACAGTAAACCAATAAAAATTGTATTTACAAAAAAAGAAAATGTGGAGTTCCAAGAAAAGAGGGACAATGGGATGATAATGACTGTTCCTCCTAATTCTGAAGACATGGGTGGTTAGTGGTATGCTTTTCTGTACGCCTTATGCATTGAAACTGCTAATCTGCTTGTGATTTCTTAGTAAAGTTGAAATTAATGTGTTCACTATAACAGCTTAGTTTGTGGTGGAAGCAAGCAGTGGCATTTCTCGTGCTTGAGACATTTCCTTCTGCTTTCTAGCTAAAACTATAATGCTGGGTAACGAATATTTTAGAGACCTGAAAGTGAAACAAATCTCGTTTAATCATTTTCTCAAACTTTTGGGTTCCTGTCCCAGGATGGTGCCTTCAGAGTGCATCATGTGCTCACATTGTGCTGAATAGTCTTGAACTAGGACCATGCATAGAACACCAGCAAAGCTCTATGCATGGTCATCTCTTAGAGCCCTTCGTTTGATGTTCCTGCTACTTTGTCTAGGCAGAACAACCATTCTGGGCATTGTCAATAACCAAGTAATTTCACCCAGTGATTCGCCCACCTCCGTCTCAATATAATACCTCCACTGTAAGGTTATACACTTTGTTAATTTGATACATTACGGTGAACTGTGTATTAAGGGACAATGTCTTGTATGTGGCTAATGCTCCTGGGGCTGATGGCCAGAAAAGCAGATAGATTTTTCATACGGCAGCCACGGGATATGAGCAGCATAGGGCATATGATGTCATACCCGGCGGTGGCGCTACAGTGCGCAGCGTAGCGGCGGCATTCCTTCCCTCTTGCATGCAGTGTGCAGAACGCCACCCATCACTGTACTGCAAGGCAGAGCCCAGACAAGACTGTCCTGTCTGCATCTTGAAGTACAGGTAGGGGTAAAGGGGCCTGGAGGACCTATTGTGCTTTGGATTTGGGAGGTGCATTAGGTGGGGAGGGTGTCAGCCGTGGGTTAGATAGGGTCAGCAGTGTATTAGATTGGGGGAAGAGGGTCAGCAGTGTATTAGATGGGGGTGGAAGGGGGGTCAGCAGTGTATTAGATGTTGTGTTCTTCTTTTAAAACAAAAGATAATTAGTTCGGACAACTGTATGAGTTGTTTTTTTCTAAACTTTTCTCAACCTCAGTATTCATGTTTAATTGCCGTGTTGGCACTTTGAGGGAAAAAAAGTTGGTTTGTATTGCGCTTTGGGCGCTTGGGCTCAAAAATGTTCGCCATCACTGGTGTAGGGGCTAATTGTTGGTGCTGTGGACCCGTAAAGAGGTAATGCTTTATGTTTGTGTCAACAGAAATGTTTTAGACTCTCTTTGACACAGCCTGGCTTTGGTTTGTGTGAATTCCTGATATACCAAAATATAAATATGTATATATATTTTACAACCAGAGAAAGAGCCTTTCTAGAATTAGCCAATTAAGTATACAATTGCGTTTACATGTATATTGTAAGGGTTTGTCACGTTTTAAAGTGGCTTGGTTAAATATTCTTTTTGCCCTCTTTATTTACAGGCCAGCCTGTACATCTGTTTCGGTACACCACAACCGACTTTAGTTAATCATAAGGTCTAACATCAATATGGCTTATTTCCATGACCACAAATATAAATATATAATATAATTATTAAACCCTTAAGGACCAAGTCTCTTGAGACGTGATAAATTTGTCTTTATGACACTTTTGCCATGCTCTCATTCTATTGCAATTTCACCCTTTCTGTTTAAGTGCACCCATACATATGGTATGTCAGTTTTTTTTAAAGTGATATTTGGCTTTCTTTTGATACCCTATATGTATACATAACACAATACTAAATATGAGTAAAATAATTAAAACAGGTTTTATTTTCTCCGTTTTAAATGTAATCATTTTTACACAAGTGCTAAAGAAAACAAACTCCAAATAGAATTACTAATTTGTTCTGATTGTGAAAATTGCCAATATGCCCAGGATTCCAATTAATGTTTTAGTAGTTCCAGAACAATTATTACAAGAAGTGAATTACAGTTTTAAAGCTAAAACATGCTAAATTTGGCATGATGAGATTATATATTTTTATAGTAGTCACATAATTCAAACCACTTCTCAAAAGTACATTGTTGTAGAAAGGCTCTTTATTTAACTAAGCACATTTTGACACTTTATTTAACCATTTTATCAGGAACCTCAGTTCCTTATTCCTCAAATTATTATATTTTTGTGTGTGTTTTTTTTCGCACGTGCATTGTTTCGGGGAACAGCACATAGCTCCCCTGTCAGTCTGGGGCCACTAATCATGAACCCAGCTGAATGAAGTGGACCCTGTCCAATGATACCCGAGGCTCCTTGGTAACCACAGTGATTTAACGCTGCTGGTACTTTTAATGCATAAAGGTCAACCGGCATTATAGCTCTGCACTGCACGTCATCATACATGTCAGGCGGTCCTTAAGTGGCTAAGAAATGTTGGCTCCAGTGCTTGACTCAAATACCCTTTTTGTTTAGGTCATTAACTACCCTTAGCTACTCAAGACATTGTTGCAACTTGTTGGATTTTGAAGGCTAAGCTTCACACAAAGGAATGCTTGAGTCTTCAAAAAGTGACAAATTATTAAAGCAGCTCTGTCACGTCAGGTGTATTTGCGTAGTTTACAAAGAACCCTGACAGCGACTGCTCCACTTTGTGCCCAGCGGCTGTGTGGGTACAAGGGAACGTGATTTTTAGTTACCTGAAACTATCTATTGCAGTGTTATTTTCTTGCCAGTCCTCTTCAGCTCTTGGCATTTTATCTGCCAGGTACCTATGTCCATGTTGTACTCTTGCATGTGTGAGAGTACAACACAGTTCTCTGGAAGATCCCATGGGATCCTCCCTAGACAGAGCAAAGGTAGCTCTGTGCTTTGTCAAGTTTTGTTAAGTCCCTACTTTATCTTAGAACATAGCAGCCCTTTACTTTCTTAGGATATCTTCTCACTGCGTTGGAATTTTACGGCTTTAAAATTCCAACACATTTATTGTGAGTATAATGGGGGTCTGAGCCGCTGTAATAATAAAAAATGATTTGTGGGTTCTAAATGCAAATATTCCACTGTTTGTTTTTGTGGGTTATTTTTTTTTTTTTTTTAAGCCAAATTGGTTAATCCAAATTGCTCAAATGTCAGAATTATTGTTTTACAGAGTGTTATTACTGTTTCTCTTTCATTGTGTTGATCGCTTCTTGTATCTTTATTTGTAGGAAACCCAGGATAAACTCCCAGTTAGTTGCCCAGCAAGTTGCTCAACAGTATGCTACTCCACCACCACCAAAAAAGGAGAAGAAAGAAAAAATAGAAAAGCCAGAAAAAGAGAAAACAGACAGAGAGAAATGTGATAAAGAAAAACCAGAAAAGGACAAACTGGATAGAGAGAAAATGGACAGAGAAAAATTGGATAAAGAAAAGTTGGATAGAGAGAAGTTTGATCGTGAAAAATTTGATCGAGAGAAACTTGATCGGGAGAAGTTGGACAGGGAAAAATTGGATCGAGACAAGCTAGACCGGGAGAAACTGGATAGAGAGAGAGTTGATCGTGAGAAACTAGATAGAGAAAGAGTGGACCGTGAAAGACTTGACAGAGAGAGAGTTGACCGGGAGAAATTGGACAGAGAGAGAGTTGACCGGGAGAAATTGGACAGAGACCGAGTTGACCGGGAGAAATTGGACAGAGACCGAGTTGACCGGGAGAAATTGGAGAGAGAAAGAGGTGACCGGGAGAAGCTGGAGAGGGATAAACCAGAGAAAGAGAAAATAGAAAAGGAGAAACCTGAAAAAGAACAGAAAACCGACAAAGAACGACATGAAAAACATGAAAAAACAGTGAGAGAAATCACTGCAAGTGTTGTAAAAAAGACTGCTAATAAAAAGACCAGGTATGCCCCCATAAGGTTCTGGGTAATATTATTTTAGGGTAAAAATTTATTTTTATTTCCGCCAATTGAAAAGCTGTGTGTATGCACAGGATAAACCGTAAAAATAATGTAGCTTGAGGACCATTTTAGGATCAAGCTACTACAAAGATTGCCCACTTAGAAACCCGATCAGAAAATGGTCTTTAGAAGGTTTATTGACTGTCTGCCAGCTGTCCACCTCTGACTTTATAAATACAACTATATAGCACTAATAAAACATGTAATTTTTTTTTTTCTTTTCTTTTCTTAGACGGTCTTTTATTAGGCTTACCTGAATTTTTAGTTTGGCGTTGTTTTCCCCTGACACCTTTTTGTTTGTGTATGTATTTATCTTGTAAACCATATAGAATTTTAGAACAATTTTTTTTTTTTTGGCGCTCTCCAATTTCAGTTGCACAACCACCTACTTCTTTGTTTTTGCATCTTGACATAGTCTCTTCTCCTGCCTTGCTTTGTCTGTGTCATCGCTACATCAGAATTGGCAAAATTCGTCTGTTGCAAATACAGTTGCATTGCAATTGTGTATTTACTTCAAGGCTATACTACAGAATGAGCCAAAATTCACAGTAGGATTTGACAGGTAAATAACTTTTTTCTTAGTAAGCTATTTATTTATTTTTTGCAGTTATGTACTATAACAGAGTATTGGGAGATTCACTATGGGTAATTTCATTAAGGAACAATGAGTAAAAATAGTGGGATTCTATTTTCAAAATGGCTAATTTCATTAATTTCCCAGATTAATTGGCCACCATGTGGCATTCACCTGTCCTTTCATCTCCCTTTTACTTCCTGTGGGAATATAAAGGAGTGGGTGTACGTGAACAACCCACGTACGCTTAAGCAGCTCAAGGAGAATATCCATGCAGAAATTTGAGCCTCAAACATTAATGTTATGAACAATGCAATCGAACAGGCCCTGACTTTGCGAAGCAGCAAATGGAGCTCCTTTAAAAGATGTCATCTTTCACAGTTTATTAAAACAAATCGCTGTATGTTACACATTAAGTGTATGTAATATCATTGAAATGGGTTCATTAATAGAAAAGTTATTCACTTCTCAAACCCAGCTCTGAATTTTGGCCCACCGCACGACACTTACTGTAAAGTAGTATTTTCTCATATTATCCCTCTATCTTCCCCTCTCAGATATCAATTCATGCTGTCGTGTGAGAAGTTTAATCTATCAATGAGGTAGACCTTTATAGTGGAGTAAACACTGGGGTAGGGATGATATAGGATATGATGGAGTGGTGGTATAGGACACTGGAGATCTAGCCACCCTCAGTATCCAGTATTACTACTAAAGCAATAACGAGTAAGGAGAAAGATGGTTTTGTTACTCAGTGATGCAACCATCTAACCATTATGTGGATATTACGAAAGTTAGATCATGTAGAACAAGCATGTCAAACTCGCGGCCCACAATGGACATCTTTGCGGGATGGCAAGCCCCGAGTACATGCTTGGTGTTAAAGCAGAGTAGGCACCTGCAATGTGGAGAAAGCAGGTGTCTACTCTGCTATAACATCAAGCATGTACTTGTGGCTTGCCGGGCAGCAAAAATGTCTACTCTGCTAAAATTTACCCGGCCGAGGAGGAAGCAGGACGCTGGCGGCAGCGAGGAAGCTCATTCTTCCTGCTCCTCACTGCCCCCTCGCATGCGCCGTCTGTAGTGATCCGGCATCACTAAACTGCGCGCCAGGGAGCAGTGAGGTGCAGGGAGGAGATCTCCAGATAGAAGATCCCCAATGGACCCCAGGGAATTGTGTGTGTAAGAATGTGTAAATGTGTCTGTGTGCGCGCTCCTGTCTGTGAGTGTGTGTTGGTCAGTGTTGCGATGGCCGTGGCTGGTCAGCGCAGTACCTGGAGTGCCACGGAGGCACTCAATGCTACATCATATTCCGACGTGACGTCAAAGTGCTCCACCTTTACAGTGTTCCAAGAAGTAGCGTGAGGATCCGCTTTGGCATAGAGTGCGGCTGGTGCCATTTGGGGTATACCAGAGGCCGAAGTTGCATACTGGCAGTGGAAATGTGAGTGGAGCCTGCTTGTTGGCTAGAGGGGGCTGCTGGGATTTAGTATAGGTGGTGGACTGGGATTTAGTAGATGGGGATGCTGGGGGTTTTTATACTGTACTTTTCAAAATAAAACTACGTTCTATGAAAATGTAAGTTTTTTTTTTTTTTTTTTGTGGCTCACATAAACTTTAAACCTTGTTTATTTGGCCTGTGCTAGACTTTGAGTTTGACATGCTTGATGTAGAGTTATTCCTTGTTGGTTCTTGGGATTGAGTTTTTTTTTCACATGATGATTTGCTTGAAACATCCCCTGTGAATGTATGTTCTGATGGAAAGTATTGAAACATTGAGACACTTAATGTGTCATTAAATGGTAAATTGTGCCTGATTGAATACTTGCACCAAGGATTTTCTATAGGAGATTTGAAAAACATAAAATATGCCTTGAGAACAGATTGTATGGAGTTTGATATTTGCAATAGTCCCACGTAGCACTTAAACAAAAGGTCACATGAATTTGGAGCCCAGAAAATATGTTATGCCTTTTACCATTGACAATTTTGGAGAGACAAATTCCATGATTGAAGTTGAGAGGAAAAAGTTATTTTTGGTTTTCTTTTTCTTTCTTTTTGTTAAATTAAATTTTTGTGGCTAATGGTTTATTCATACATCATCACAATCTGGTCTTAAAAGACCTTTTGCCGGTTTGCAGTGTTCTGTTTATTTAGCCTTTGTGGCTTCTAGTCTGTGAAGCCTTGCCACAATTAAATAAGTGGCACATTCCAGGCTGAGTTATTATAATGCAGTTATCCATTGGTCCTTTGGGTGTTAAAGTGTTTAATGTTCAGTGCTGCTGAAATTGCTTTCCTTGCATTGCAAACTCACTTGGCAGATTGAAAGACTCCACATGTCGGCTTATCATGTTTCAGTTCGGCATCTCCTGCAATTTGCACCAAATTTTCATTCAGGAAAATGCATACTTGGTTTTGTTTAATAGAGAAGACCTTGAATTTCTATTGTTCTGCAAGTTATTTATTTAGGAAACTTGTTGCACTGGTTATATCACCCTTTATAACCCTGTACTTCTTATTCTAGGCCATTTTTATGCTTACGTTAAAGGACCACTATAGGCACCCAGACCACTTCAGCTTAATGAAGTGGTCTGGGTGCCTGGTCCAGCTAGGGTTAACCCTTTTTTTTATTTTTTATAAACATAGCAGTTTCAGAGAAACTGCTATGTTTATAATAGGGTTAATCCAGCCTCTAGTGGCTGTCTCATTGACAGCCGCTGGAGGCGCTTGCGTGCTTCTCACTGTGAAAATCAGAGAGAAGACGCCAGCGTCCATAGGAAAGCATTGTAAATGCTTTCCCATGAACTGGCTGAATGCGAGCGCGACTCCTGACGTGCATGCGCATTCAGCCAATGACGTCGCTATGAAGGAGGAGAGCTCCCCGCCCGGCGCTGGAGAAAGGTAAGATTTTAACCCCTTCCTCTCCCTAGAGCCTGGCGGGAGTGGGACCCTGAGGGTGGGGGCACCCTCAGGGCACTATAGTGCCAGGAAAACGAGTATGTTTTCCTGGCACTATAGTGGTCCTTTAACGCTTGTGTTAAAAAAAGAAAAAAAGTCTGCCAAGTGGCAAACAGTAATTTCCTAAAGAAACTACCAAAAGTGACACATTTACTTTGGTTAGTAGTCAAAATATATGCATAAACCTGAATAAGTGTTTGAAATACCCCAGAGAATATTAGCTTGACAATAAAAATACTCAGTGTGCTTTATTGGGCTCTCAAATTAAAAAAAATATAACCATATTGTACCCCTGGATAAAACCATATTGTAAGTGATGCTTATTTTTGGCCTTCTAGCTACATCTAAACTACATGTCCTGGAATCATGGTACTTGTAGACCAACAAGAGCTGGGGAACCAATGTTTGCCTAACAAGTTCTATACCAATAGGACCCCAATGTAATTTCTCTACTTGCTCATTTAAGGATATTTAGTTGTTCAATCATGTAGTCGAGACTTGTCCAACTTCAGCCTAAAATTGGTCTTGCTTGTCTCTGTGTTTCTATAAAGGGGGCACTACTAATAAAAACAGAAAAAAGTAGTCGCTAATTAAAGGACCTCTAAAGTCACCCAGACTAATTCGTCTCCGTGCTCTGTAGCATTAATTTTCAATGTAAATCATTGTAGTTTTTATATAAACTGCCATCTTTCCATGGCAGGATTAACATACCTCTAGTGGTTTACGAATGAAGTGAAGAGCTCATAGAGCAGCATTTGATTAACACAGCGCAGAACATGCGCACACAAGCCTTGCAATGTTTCAGTGCGGGGAAACATTTGATAATCAGTCTTGATGATCTCAGCCAGGGAGGTAGAATGGCAGGATGGAGACCGGCGAGGCAATAACTGAAAGGTAAGTAAATCTCGCCTTTCAAACAATAGTTGGGGAACCTTAATAGTTATATTGAAACTACCTCTAGGAATACAGCTGCTATGGTCTTCCTTTTAAAGGGATTCTCAAAGCACCTAAATCATGTTACCTGCACCATTTTTGCCCTTCCCACCGATGTCCCGCTGTAGGACGCCAGAGTTTGGAGGTATATATTTGTCAAAGAGCACTTCTTTGGTGACTGTTGGCCTGATGATGCCAAGAGCTGATGTACTTATTTTGTATCATTCAAGTTACCTGCCAGCCTCTTATGTCCCACCTCTTCGCTCACAACGTATTTCATGTTTGTTTCCAGTAATGCTCATCTAAGATTTACCATATTTTCAAGTCATCCAGTCATCTTCCTGAGATCACAAATTTCTTTATTTTGTATGTTTGTTCCCTGTAAAGGGATAATTTTACATGCCTAGTGTTCAGCACTTTCAAATTATTAAAGGTATCTTTGAAAGTGATGACGAATGACTTGTCTGACATATCAAGGTGGATGTTAGTGTAAAGCCGTGAAAGAGCTGTATATAAATTGATGCGTGCTGTCTGGCATTCAGCAAGATAACGCAAATTCGAATCTGCTGTCCTATATATCTAGGACACCTAAGAACAGCGTGAAAGATACAGGCAGGGATACCCTTAGTTCTGTGATGAACAGTAAATTGACCATTGCTGGTTTGCAAGCTTGATGCGCTTGGACTTGGAGTTGAAGTTACTGCGCACATTCCACATACTCTGTATGTCCAATACCAAGTTTTGTGCTCCTTTTACTAATCCAATAGTTGGCTTGTAATTTGCTTTTTTGGTTCATATCAGAAACTTCAGAATGATGTCTGAGAGTTCTGTAGTTATACCAGGTATAGCATATAGTAGAAGGTGAACAGATTTAAAATGTTGCAGTGTTTTGTTTTTCAATTTTATTTTTAAAGATAACTACAACAGCTTTTTGTTCTAATCTCCCTTCAGACCAAAGTCAGACATCCTAAGAGATGCACCCATTGAAGCCCACAGTATTCAATCTGGAAATACAATGGCTAAGATCAGCAAGTTTAATCACACTTCAAGGTAAGGATCTGCATGGACCAGAAAGCTTGGTGTTTTGTTATGTATGTATGTATGTATGTTTTTTTTTTTGTGTGTTTTTTTTTTAATTATTATTATCTGTTCGTTTTTCTTGAGCCCTGTACAGGTGATAAATTAGTTATATCTATCCCTCTCTCTCTCTCTCTTTCTCTCTCTCTCTCTTTCTCTCTTTCTCTCTCTCTCTCTCTCTCTCTTTCTCTCTTTCTCTCTTTCTCTCTTTCTCTCTCTCTCTCTTTCTCTCTTTTTTTCACTCAACTTTGTGACAAAGGCCTTTTTTGGCACTTTTGATATACCACAATTTACTTTTTTCTCTTTACGTTAACAATACATATCATATATCCTTTTTCAAAGGAGAAATAGGACTTAATTTTGATACACTAAATGTACACATCATGCAATATTAAATTAGAAATAAAATATTACAAAAACATTTAATTTCAACACACAAAATGCAAGTAAAGAAAACAAACTTAAAATAGATTTACTAATTAGTCCTAGTTGTTAAAATTAATCATGGTTTTAAAGCTAAATTTGGCTCACATTATGACTTTAATTGTAGCTACAGAATCCTAAAGCATGTTTCAATTTACCATTTTATCACAAACCTATGTCAAAATAATTTTTGTGATTTTTTTTTTTTTTTTAACCTCCCCCCTGCCAGTTGTATTGTGGGGGAATTCAGAGAACATGTGTCAGACTACTTCAGACCGCATATTTGTATTCAGTTACTGTTCACGGGTACAAATATACCATACTTGTATATCTTTTGCCACTAATCCGACCCCCGATATTATCCATAATTTAACCCTTAATTATAGTCCCTGATTCGAACCTTAATCTAACCCATAAACCCAATTATAATCCTACTTCTAGTCCCAGTCCTAATTCCACCCTCATTCCATCTCTCAGGGGATTCCCTCTGCGGATATCCATACTGACATAAGCCAAGGGATTTCCTTCTTCATACAGTACAGATGTCTCCGTGAGCCCTCTGTACAATGTGATAGCAGCATGAGAGGGCTCAAGAGATCGATGCTAGGGAGATGGCACAGCCCAGCACCATTCCTGCTGCAGTGGGGTAATCAAGGAAACCTCCCAGAAATCTGTTCAGACCCCGGGGACTCTGTTAAACTTGGGGGATGACATCCTTGAATTTACGGTGGTAGCTCTACAGTTGATTTAAAGGGCTACGAGCAGCACTCGCTTTGAGCACTGCTCATAGCTCATCTGTCAACTAGTATCAAAAGATTTCAGGGTTCTATTGTAGCAGCATGCTGTCATGCTGTTACTTCTACTGCATGATGGTCTATGTCGTCAATGGACTTTAAAGCCCTGTACTGAATGACCACATAGGCCATCATGTGGTCATTAAATGGTTAAGACTTTTTGTATACAATTACTAAACAAACATACGTAACTGGTAAAATATTACAAAACAATTTAGTTTTTTCTGTAAGTCAACAATTTCTGCGAGGATCAGGATCAGTTCATCTTGAGAGTGAGCCCCTACACATTAATTAGGGGCTTGTATGGCATATGCATGAACTCAATACAAAAACTTGTATTGCTAAGGGTGGCATAACTTGCTTACCTAAGGAACAGATTGTACTGATATTTACACCGGGAAACTCCTAGCAACATAGCCTATGCAACAAGCATACAGATTCGTCCCTATAACCTATCTTATACAAAGGAAATGGCTTAAAATGTATATTTCAGTCTCCTTATTTTAAATACCTCAGTTTGTTCCACTAGTGACATTAGTGGAATTTGAACATAATCAGAAAATTGCATTTTACTCTTGATAACAAATGTCACTTGAGTTCAACAATTATATTTGAGTTTATTTATTTGTTTTTTTGCAGGCCCAGACTGAAAAATGTAGACCGGAGCACTGCACAGCAGCTTGCAGTCACGGTGGGAAATGTTACAGTAATAATCACAGACTTTAAAGAAAAGACTCGTTCCTCCTCTACGTCTTCATCTACCGTGACGTCAAGTGCCGGCTCAGAACAACAGCATCAGAGCAGCTCTGGCTCAGAAAGCACAGACAAGGGGTCTTCCCGTTCCTCGACCCCCAAGGGCGATATGTCTGTTGTGAATGACGAGTCTTTCTGAAGAAAAAACAAATATTGCACACAAATTTGGTGGAAACTCTGAAACCGGGTTAGGAATTCCCAGACACCCACTTGCCTGTGTTTGTTTGTTTTCCTGCGGCTTTTCTTTCATTTGGTTTTTGTTGTTTTTTTGTTTTTGTTTTTTTTCTTCCTGTTTTTCAAGACGTGAACATTTATCTTGGACATATAAAAACAAAATCCTCCTCCTAAAGCTGCCTGGACAGTTTGTACTTGACATGGGCATCTGGCTACCAAGGAATTTCTTACCCTCAGCAATGACCCTTGACACTTGCGTATTCCATTTTTTTTATGATTTTCCTAACAATCATTTATAATTGGATGTGCGTCTAAATCTACTTTTTTATACAAATCTGCTGTGCACAGTTTTCCATGTACATTATGCTTTTTTTTTCTTTTATCTTAATTTTATTTATTGCATTTGCAGACACTTATCAACTTCTTGCGTCTCCTTCCTCCCCTTTTCCCCTTCTTCCTCTCTTCTTCCTGTTATACAGCATACTATCAATTTTTATACATCAGTATATAGAAATATATATATATATATATATATATAAATATATATAAATACATATAAATAAATGGTTATTTGAAAACCAATACATAGAAAAACACTGGTGCTTGATACACTGTGAAGCGAATACCTAGAACACAGATCAAAGATTGGCACTTAACCCATCTGTCCTACAGAATGCTGCTAAATGGCCAGTCCAGCAGTGAAGGGGTTAAGGAAGATTGCAGCAAAACTGTGAAACCTCTGAGAGGATGTCATCTGTTTCAGCTCCTTTTTTTGTGTTTTGTTTTGTTTGGTTTTTTTTTCCTCCCTGTGTTGAATTTTTTTTTTTTTTTTTCTTACGAAAAACCAAAACAAAAAAACAATTAACAAAATTAAAGATCTGGTGCAAATTACAACAAAAAGGTGAATTCTCAAGACTGGCGAAACCACCGTCAGAAAGCCGCTTTTAAATACAAAGGTGACTCTGGCATACAAACATGGCCAAATCACGATCGTCGTCTTTTACCGTACACATTTGGTTATATTGCATGTTTGGCCTTAGTACTGCAAAGTTTATTGTTCTTGAGCCATTTTAAAACAGAAGTTAAGATAAAACACCACTGCTTCAAAAACAAATCGCTTTGATACGTATACGTTTAAAATTGTTTTTCACATTTAATGTTTAAGGTCTTGCAAAGGAAAATATATCAGGATATGCCTGATTGGTTACATACAAAGTTCACTCTTGTTTCCGTGTTGGGGGTGTGACAATTTTTTATTTTTTTATTTTTATTTCAGCTGAATAATGTAGGGTAATATTTCTCTGTAAGTTTGGGTAAATACAATACAAAAAATATATATATATATTTTTTTGTGAGTAATCACTGGTATTGGAATTTTGTCATTAAATGCTAAGGTGGATTTTGTTTTTAGCAAAATGAAATTGTTTAGCAAAATGTAGCTATGGTTTGAGTTTACTCTTGAACAAACAATTGTGAAGTAGGAGCTATTTTTAAGTTGACTAATTTGTCTCCTTTTTGGAGGAATCTTAAGTTGATGGACAGCTGAGGATAGCCAAAAGTAAGGGCAGGTGTTGAGTTGTGTTAAAAGGTGAGTTATGTTATGACTGAGCCTTTCTAAGCCTTCAGAAAGAAAACTGTAAGACAAATGAGTCTCTTCTTTAGCTTAGCAATAATTTTACTGGATACATTTTGGGAAAAGAAAACAAAACATACAGCCAGATTTTGATTTTGAAATATTTATGGTAACAAAATAAATTTGCTTTAGTCACTTATGTCTGCCCTGTGATGCTCAATGTGTGTTGGATAATTGTGCTTATCCCAAAAAGTTAGATGTCACTAGCCTAAGGGATGCACTTGCTTGCAGATTTAAAAAAAAAAAAAAAAAATGGAGTGGAAATTTGTTTTGAAAGTTTTCAAAAAAATGTTTCTATTGCTTATGAAATGTATTGTCTAATATTTTGAAACAATGTACAGATGTGACTAGCCATAGGTGTAATTTTGCAATTATTACTGTGTCCTTTTATGTGCAGATGAACTGTGGCTGTCCCTTTTTAAAGGGATGCTGTAGTTACCAGAACCACTACATTGATGCAATGTATCTCTATGCGTGATGCTGACTGGTGTAGCGCAGCATTTTGCTGTTCATGCACAATAGCCTCGAAAACATTGGATTGGCTCAGATCATCAAGATTGATCGCAGTCATAGAGGCAGAGCCAGCCATGGCGAGACTGGCGCGGTGTGGGAAAAAAGGTGAGCAAAAAACACCTTTTGCCATGAGCTTTAAGGGCGTCCGGGGACCTAAATAATACATGTTTGTACTCCTTATACTGTAGTTTTCCTTTAAGGATAAAAACACCATGGGCTTTCTAACTGCATCTAAATAGCCACTTGGGTAGATATCCCAAAAATCGACATTTAGCAAAATCTACTAAATGAAGACAAGAGAAATAAAGAAAACAAATGGGTCCATAGTTACTATTCAGTAAATAAAACTCTTAAAGGAATATGTCATTTCTCAAAGGTTTTAATATTTATGCTTATCTATCCCTATATTTAACAAATATTTATAAGATGTGAAAAATGTAATGTATAAATCCACACATCTTTATCCTGCAAATGGGTGCCTCCATTTTAACTCTTTGCACCTGACCGTCAGCATGGAAAAAGCATATAAAGAAGATGCATTGGCTTTGCCTTGTTTGAACTAGGTATTAGTGATGTCGCGAACTTTTCGCGAACGGTTCGCCGCGGACTCCAGTCAGCAGACACATCCCGGCCAATCTGCAGCTGACCCTCCCTCCCAGACCCTCCCACCTCCTGGACAGCATCCATTTTGAAGGCAGCTTCACAATGGATGCTGTCCAGGAGGTGGGAGGGTCAGCTGCAGATTGGCCGGGATGTGTCTGCTGACTGGAGTCCGGCGAACCGTTCGCGAAAAGTTCGCGACATCACTACTAGGGATGCACCGAAATGAAAATTCTGGGCTGAAACCAATAATTCACGATACCCTTTGCCAGAAACCGAAACTTACTTTTTTCCCCAAATGATTTAAAAAAAAAAAATGTTTTCCCTATAATTTTATTATTAGACTTTTTAATGAATTTAATCTAATATGAAAAACTTCCATTCTCTTTTAGTGGTCTCCCCTGCTTAATGTTTCTCTCTCCCCCTCTAGTGTTCCCCTTTTTTTTTTGTGTTCTTTCCCACCTCCTCCCCAGTCCCATAGTGTTCTTTTCTCCTCCCCAGTCCCATTGTGTTCCCTTCCCAGACCCATAGTGCTCTTTTCTCCCCTCCCCTGTCCCAGTGTTTTTTCCTCCATCCCATAGTACTCTCCTCCCCCCAGTCCCATAGTGTTCTTTTCTCCCCTCCTCCCCAGTCCCATAGTGTTCCCCCTCCCCCCTCCGGCCCATAGTACTCTCCTCCCTCCAGTCCCATGTGTTCTTTCTCCCCTCCTCCGGCCCATAGTGCTCTTTTCCCCTCCCTGTCCCAGTGTTTTCCTCCATCCCATAGTGTTCTCCCGGTCCCATCTTCTCCCCTCCCGGTCCCTTCCGTCCCATAGTGTTCTTCCCCACTGTCCCATAGTGTTCTTCCCCCCCACTGTCCCCTCTTCCCCACTGTCCCATAGTGTTCTTCTCCCCACTGTCCATATAGTGTTCTTCCCCCCCCCTTGTTCCATAGTGTTCTTCTCCCCCATTGTTCCATAGTGTTCTTCCCACCCCCACTGTCCCATAGTGTTCTTTCCCCCCCCCACTGTCTCATAGTGTTTCTTCCCCGGTGTTCTCCCCCCACTGTCCTGGTGTTCTCCCCACTGTCTAGTGTTCTCCCCCCCCCCTGTCCCATAGTGTTCTTCCCCCACTGTCCCATAGTGTTTCCCCCCCACTGTCCCATAGTGTTTCCCCCCACCCACTGTCCCATAGTGTTCTCCCCCACCCACTGTCCATGTTCTCCCCCCCACTGTCCCATGTGTCCCATGGTGTTTCTGTCCCCCCCCCACTGTCCCATGGTGTCTCTTCCCCCCTCCGTCCCATAGTGTCCTTCCTCCCATAGTGTTTCCCCCTCCCATATTGTTCTCCCTGTCCCATAGTGTTCTTTCCGTCACTATTATATATATATATATATATATATATATATATATATATATATATATATATATATATATATATATATATTTTTTTTTTTACATTTCTGGAAATTTGACCCGTTTTCACCAGAAAAGGGATAGGCCCATTTTCGTCCGAAATTTCGGTGCATCCCTAGTTTGAACTGGATTATGTGATCTAAATCTTAATATACATTTTAAAAAGAAAATGGACCATCTCATTAAAAAAAAATAAGTTGACACGAATCATAGGTAATTTTCAATGCTTTATACAATGATGTAATTTTGTGACAATTTCCCTTTAATATTTTGTATACAGCTTACTTATAGCTCAACAAGCAATGACTGTAGATTTATGATATTCACATTTTTGGAATCCAAGCTAATGGACATCTCAAAATATAATTGAAAGATACATGGACTTATTAAAGAGGCAGCGGGGTTATTTGAGGCTCTGCCAATTCAGAGCAAATGCCAATAAAGGCACTGGAGAAATGAACATGAATTAAACTAATCGGTGCCAGTTTGTGAGGGAATTGTTTTTGTTTTGTTTGTTGTTTTCTAGATTGGCACAGAACCTAGAGATTTCATGTTTGTTTGCCCATTTTGATTATACATGAATTTATTTTTAATAAATTAATCAAAGTTTTAATAAAATTCTTGGATACATTTATAAATGCAATAATAGACCATCTGTTTTATTAGCAGAGTTGAGCGCCGGCCCTATCATGAATTTATTATCTCAAAATGTGCCCTGTCGGAAACTTAAAACACAAGCATTTTTTACAGACATAACTTGCCCTCTGCTGAAGTTGTCTTAAATAAAAAAAAAAATTCAAAATCCAGGTTGTAAAAACAAGTTTATGCTGCTTTTAATTTTTTTTAATTTTATTTTAGACGTTGATCGTTTCTTACCAACAAAATTTTATCTCCTCGAATCAAGATGAATAGTATGTATACCCACGTATTGCTGATATCAAGCACAATTCATACATTTGTATCGAAGACCAGTAATGGCTGCACAGAATGCGCATAACTTGTTAAGACTGTTATGGGTAACCTTGGGACTTCAGAGCTTTGTGAACTACATTTCTGTATTAAACAAAAAGTGAAGAAAGTGTTCCACCACTTCAATAAATAGTGATGGTAATACTAGTAAACTCAAAAAAGTGCTTACCCAAAACCTTTTAAATAAATCTAAAAGATACAAATCATACTAAAAATCACACCCAGTGTGTACATACATAAAAATACTTTGTATTAAAGATATTTCCAATAGTGTAGTTCTATAATATCCAGAGTAAAAGAATCCTGTATCTAAAATGAGATAAATAAAAAAGAACAAACACAGTGCAGTGTGTATGGTAATAAAAAAATAAAAAAATTCTGCTGTGATATAGGAATTGCATTTACTTGATGAAGAGCTGTACCAGGCTCCCTACAAGTAGCCCATGGATGCCGATTCAGGCCTTAGTGTGCACATCAATCTTCAAAGTTAATGGACTGCGAAAATTTTTTGTACAATATAAAAAGTATATGCATAAAAAATAATTTTACAATAAAATTTAAGGGGGGCAGGGAAAATGCCAATAAAAGTGACATGGCCAAGTGATTTTGGAAATTTAGTTCACAAAACTGTGAAGGTTACACTTTCATGTCCTAGGTCATATTGTAATTGTTTTTTGGATTTTAGAACGCTACATTACACTTTACTCCCTACCCCCCCACCCCTCCCCCATTGCTTACTAGCGTAATGTCATATAAATTTTTATTTCTTAATTAGACTTTCACAATGTATGTGAAAATTGCCTTTTTGAATGGGCTGCTTTAAGATGTACCACGGTTACAAAGTAGGAAACAGCAGGGAAGTGTACGAATTCTGTGTTTGCAAAGCAGGTAAACAGAGCAGTGTTATGTTTTCAAGTTTCACAGATAAACATCTCTTACTTAACTTTGTGCAATTCGAAACCGTCACATTGCAAGAAGAGTGTAGAATTCAGTGCTAGGATCTTTTATTTTCCAGTATAACAGAATACTTGTTTCGGACCGAATGTCTTGGCAGAAAAATCTGGCTGTAGTTCCCATGAATTTGTTTTCACTGATCCTGATCATCTGCCTTACTTAAGATCAGTCTCAGTCTACGTTTTTTTGTTTTTTTTTTAATATTGTAATGTAAATTATTGAATTGCTAACTATATAAAAGAAAATTTAAACATGTGCTTGTATGTAACTGAACATGGTTTAACCCTTAGAGTTGCTAAGAGGAAAGCGATCCACAGAATTACAATGCTTTGCTTGCCCCTCTAGGGCACCAAAGCATCGACGACCTTCATTTAGTGTATGACATTTGGAGCTGGACAGTTTTAATGCACAAGCAGTTCTGTTCGTATGTATAATTGTAACCTGATTTTACCGTGTAAAAAGGGTTACATTTAAGTCTTTAGGTTTGTTTTTTTTTTTTGGTCAAAGACTCCTTTAGATTGCTCGTTTATGTCCAGACATAATCTTATTCTTCGTGAATCTTTTTGTTTGTGTAATATAAGAGTTTTTTGTTTTTTTTCCCCCTCTTTTTGTTCTTCCTTGAAATGGCTTGTATTCTGCTTTTTTGACAGCTTCTCATGTAAAAGTCTTTAAAATTAACAGTCTGTTTTAGATTATTTTTTTAATTTTATTTTTTTCCCTTTTAATTTTCTTCTTCATGCTAAAATGTCAATTTGGTGTTTTTTTGTGAACTGGTCAGAAATTCACAGGTCTTTAAATGTTTTTGGGAAATTTTTATTGAACACTTGCTATTTTTGTCTAGCAAATTGAAAGATGTTAATATATTCCTTGCTGGCATGTGCACGGCTGTCATAGAAGCCACTTTATCATTTTCTTCTGCTTTAATTAGAAATGTCTATTTATGAATCCTGCTTGTAGTTTTTTTTTCCCACAAATAAAATAGTAAAATTTAAACCTAAATCTGTATTTTTTATTATTCAATCACTTTTTTCCCCTGAATCCAATTTCTATCTTACTTGCTTTTATCCTACTATTACGTACATGACTGGTTTCCAAAAAAATGTTCTTCTTGTAGTATTATGATTGTGTAAATATCAATACATATATGCTACTGTACAGTATTAATATATCTTTGTGGTTACTGTTCTGCAATTTGCTGTTTTCTCATGCACTACATTTTATAAATTAAAGGATCACTATAGGGTCAGGAACACAAACATGTATTCCTGACCCTATAGTGTTTAACCCGCCATTTAGGTGGTTTGCCCTGCCTTAACCCTCTTATTAAAGTATAAAACTCCCCTTATTTCCAGCGCCGTGCGGGTCTGCTGGGGCTGGCTCCGCCCCCTTTGTGACATCATCAAAATGGCACATTTTAAGACAATCCAATGCTTATAGGGAATGCATTGGATTGGCTAAAATCAGCACGGGGACGGGGCCAAATGACGTTTTGGCCAATCAGGACCTCTTCATAGAGATGCACTGAATTAATGCATCTCTATGAGGAAAATTCAGCGTCTCCATGCAGAGCGTGGGGGCGCTGAATGGCAGGGCTACTTACTGTGTCCCTTCTCTGAAAAGGCAGTGTTTGCATAAAATGCCTGAAGGGAGCTATTATACTCACCAGAACTACTACAATAATCTGTAGATGTTCTGGTAACTATAGTGTCCCTTTAATGCTGTTATACCTGTCTAGACAGTGGATAAGAAAGGCTAAAAGTTTAGTACTGGAAACTGGAGTCACTTTTATTTTTTCTCCTTAGTTTCTCCTGTGAACAGGGCCGGACTGGGGATTCCAAAGCAGCCCTGGAAAAAAAAATCTATGCCAGCCCCATAAGTCATTGCGCCATATATTGTCGCATGTAATATGTAAGGCTATGTCTTGCCACCCTAGATGAGATATATATATATATATATATATATATATATATATATATATATATATATCTATATCTTTTTCCAATATAAAATATTGGTCCGTTCAGAGTAAAATTTTTAATTATGCAGTAAGCATACTCTCACATGCAGACACATACCATCTCACTGACACAAGATGGTTGATACACAGCCTCATAGACAAACAATCTCACTGATATACATAAGGCCATTGACATAAAAACACAAGCTCACTCAGTAGCAGGCCCACTCACTAGCAGGCGCGCACACACAGCTTAATGTAGTGGCTCTGGTGTCTATAGCCTGTCCCTGCAGGCTTTTCAATGTAAATACTGACTTTTTAGAGAAAAGGCAGTGTTTACATTGCTTCCTAGTGACAGACACTCAGACGGTCACTAGAGGTGCTTCCTGTGTCAGTGCGGCTTGGCTGACCTCATCAAGCTTGATGATCTCAGCCGTAGAGGCAGGGCCAGTCGAAGGGAGACCAGCACGACGTGGGGGGAAAAAAAAGGTGAGTAAAAACACACACATACCATAACAGACCGACCGTGACACACACACACACACACCATGACACACAGACACACACACCACGACAGAGAGAGACCGTGACACACACACACACACATCATGACACCGACACACAGACAGACACCGACACACACCATGACACAGACACACACAATTTCTACCTGTGGGGAGCTCTTCTGGCGGCTGCATGGGGGAGCTGGCTGTTCTGTCTCTGCTCCACAGCGCGCCACTTAATGAGACCGGGGCCGGAATATGACGTCATATTCCGGCCCCGGACTCATTAAGCGGCACACTGGGTAGGGGGAGCAGAGACCGAACAGCCAGCTCCCCCTGGGGCCGCCAAAGGTGCTCCCCCATGCGGCCACCAGAAGAGCCAGCTGCCGGCCCGGCACTCCTGTTAAATGTACCCTGCAGTGTTCTTTTAATAATTCGTGCCATTTGTCAACTTGGAATTCACTAAAGCAAGGAAAACCATTACTATATGGTGCCTCTGAATTTTTTCCTGAAAAGTACCCTGATCTTCTATCATGGTTTGAAGTTCTAGTTCAGCAATAAATGGAAATCTACATTTTGAAAATATTCTACCAAACTATTGTTGATGTGCCAGGAACGTTCCACTAACTTTAATCCTACCAGATTCACTTAGACGTAAATAAACTTTCATTATCTTATTGTACAGCGCAAATAATAGTCATGTAATACCACGTGGATATGTGTTCTGAGAGATAAGAATATGAGTGTGACTGTCATAAACAATCTCGTCTCACTTGAACATGCAGATTACAAACCCGTGCATAATATGGAAATGCACTAAATGTGGGTGTGTTCCAGGGAGTAAAAGGCTAGGCAGTATTACTTTGTATATTATCTTCATTATATGATGTTTGGCTTCTGTGACAAAGCGCATTGGCTAACGGTTTGCTGGGCTTGTAAGACAAAATAAAGTGCGAATGAGCATTAAAACAGCTCTGTGATTTTATTTAATTTTTTTTTATTATATTTTGTATGTCCCCCATGAGAACCATTTTTTTACCCATATGTATATGGAAGAGATCCTGGAATACATTATTCCAAAAATGAATGTTTGAACTGTGAAAGCAAATCTAATGTGTAATACAGGCACTGTAACAAACAATTTAAAAAAAAATAGGACAACCACAACAAAACGCAAGTGTGAAAACTCTCAACCAGAAAGACACCCCCCAAACCCAAAAGTAAGTTGTGCACTCCAGAAATAATAAAAGATCATATTTATGGGTCAGTTTCCTCTTGCTCTAAAATAGTTCCAATACATATATTACAAATAAAAATGACAACACTATAATATTGTCTTTACAATGGAACATGGCTCAACAATATATGCGGATACTCAGAGAAGGTACACCTAACAAATGCAGGACCTTGGCAAGTGGTATGCTCGTCCCCATACTGACAGCATGATCCAGGAACAATTGGGAGGAAGAGAAGAGGAGGTAACTATAGTGTAACATATAAGCAAAGTTTAAGCCTCACAATTAAGACGTATTTACTAAACGGCAAAAAATACACCAAGTACGTAATTTGTTTGCACCTGTGTCCATTGATCACCTTCAAGCTGTAGCAGCTTAACATATACGAATAACATATACTACAATTCCCCAGCACATTGATTTTGTGTTACAGCCTTCCAAACAAAAAAGGCCTTCATCAGATCAATTGGCAATGCAGAAATGGGGCTATTTTTTTCACACTGTTCAATAGCTGGGCAGATTCAAAGCATGTGATAGAACACCAATTACACCATCTCAGATTTGTAGACCCTACTTTTCTATTTCAAAGGTCAATAATAAAATTGACCCTCGTTGAAATTTGAAAATAAGCGAATGTCAATTTTTTTTTTTTATTGTTTATAACATCTACCTTTACTCTTGTTAAATTTCTTAATAAAATATATATATATTTTTTATTTCTAGGAATAAGGAGAGTCTTGAAACACTTTTGTTACTGTGGAATTTAAGTCTGATAGAGCAGCTGTTTTTGTTTTATTTTTTCCCCCATTTCATGAAAGCTGTAACAGTCGTCCATACATCTTCTAATAATGAAAAATTGTGAATATGTATAAATCAGGAGAGGCCATCCTCCTGTTTTCCTATTTGGTATAAAGATATCCATAGTAACATATCCCATAGGGAAACGTCTGTGCTGATTCATCCATCATTTATCCACTTAATACAGAACATAACACAGCCATGTGTGCTGAATTTCTCGATTTGCCTGATTCGTTTCATAAAGTGGCACTGCCTGAAAAAACCCCATTAAACTACAGTTTAAATTATTGTATGATAATTGGTCAAATACTTGCTGATTATTCGTTTTAAGTTCAATTATTACGTTTTTTGTTAGAAATGCTTGCATTTTAAGATAATTAAAGAATTCTTTATTAGGAATCTCGTATTTTTCACAGAGAGCAAAAAAATTTTAAATTTTATTTATCTCTATTAAATCATTAACCAATATTATCCCTTTAGAATTTCAGTTTGTCAGTGTCCTGTGAAAGATCAGTTAGCATGTCCACCTTCAAAGAAGGTAATATTTTTTCTTTAAGACCTAGATTTTCTTTAATTTTACACCAATTCTTTAAAACAGGGTTCAAAGATAAGATGTTTCCGAAAAAAAACTTCACTTTTGAATTGTCACTAAAGGGATCCAAAAGGCAGCAGCAAGATTTTTATATATTCAATTCTTTTTAATTCTAAAATATACCAGCTTTCCGCTTTAGAAGTTTCATGTAGAGTACGAATTGCATGAGCTAAAGGTGAAGCACGATTAAGTCTGTTCGATGATATAAAACCCTGACCTGCCTTTTCATTTTTTATTATTAAAAACTTTTGGCTAATTTAATAAAGTCTTTTTTTTTTTTTTTTCAGATAAACTTGGAAATAGAGTCTGGATTAACTTCATCCAGTTTAAGGGGATATTTATGGGTAATAAACTCATCATATAAGTTATTCTGGGCATAACGTTAGATTTAACAACCATGAAATCTCCTTATTTTTCCATTGATTGAAATTTGTATTAAAGTCTTTAATTAGAGGAAGCAAATTGATTTCAATCCAATTTCTAGGGTTTGTAGAGATCTACCCAAATAGGTGAAAGATTCTTTTGTCCAAACAAAATCAAATCTTGCTGCAATTTTTGCTATTTTACCTGTATCCATAAATAATGGAAGGGCAATTGATTTGGATGTGTTAAGTTTGTAATTCAAGAATTGACTATATCTTTCTATAACCTTCATTAACTCTATGGTGGAGTTAACTGGATATTCCATTATGATCAGAATATCGTCTGCATAGAATTTGATTTTGATCTTATCTTCCATAACGCCCTTAATCTTGGGATAATTGCGAGTTTCAATTGCCAGGATTTCAATAGACAAAACCTATAGCAACGGGGAGAGCGGGCATCCTTGCCTGGTTCCGTTTGCTTGGTGGAACCAGTTAGAAGTAAATCCATAGTTTGATATTTTAACAGAAGAATTTTGATACAAAGCCATAATGGCATCATAGAGTCTGCCAGAGAAGCCAAAACTTTTTAGAGTGTTTACTAAGAAGTCCCAGCTGACCCTGTCAAAGGCCTTCTTCACATCCAGTGACAGGGTCAGGAGGGGGATCTCTTTTTCTCTAGCTAACTTGAAAATATTTGAAAGTGTTCGAGCATGACTTGAAGAAGATCGTCCTGGCACAAAGCCAACCTGGTCTATATGTATCAGATCTTTTATAACTGTTTTCATCCTTCACGCTATCATTGCTGCATATAGCTTTATATCTTCATTAAGAAGAGAAATTGGCCTATAACTTCTAACATCTTCTGGGTTTTTACCTGATTTTTAGTATGGTAACATTGTTGCCTCTTGTAGGTAACATGGCTTCATCTGCAAACTCGTTAAAAGCAGCTAGTAAAATGTGGGGCAATTTCCTCTTTATAAGTTTTATTAAAAAGGCCAATAAGTCCATCTGGTCCTGGTCCTGGGGCCTTTTTAGGGGTTAGAGAATCAATCCCTCTATAGATCTCCTGAGTAGAGAAAGGTTTGTTGAGTCTTTCTATTTGAATTTTAGTTAGTTTATTTGAAGATTTATTTTGAAAATCAATTTCATTTTCTAGATTTAACTTAGAAGGCTTTATGTTATATAAATCATAGTTACATAGCTGAAAAGAGACTTGCGTCCATCAAGTTCAGCCTTCCTCACATTTGTTTTTTGCTGTTGATCCAAAAGAAGGCAAAAAAACCCAGTTTGAAGCAAATCCTTATAGTATTTTTCAAACAACTTAGAAATACTATCTGGAGACAAACATACCTTTTCCTCATACAATTTTTGAAATTATTCTCGATTTCTATATCTTTTTTTAATTTATAAGTTAAACATTTGTCAGCCCTATTTCCGAATAGGCAGGTGGGGGCCCTAAAGTAAAATGACGGGTGGGACCTATTGTCCTCCCCCCGGCCCCCACCCCTAAGTGGTGGGTGGGGGCCCTCAATCAGAATAACAGGGGGACCTATTGTCCTCCCCCCTGGCCCCCACCCCTGAGCGGTGGGTGGGGGCCCTAAATACTAATAAGGGGGGGGACCTAATGTCCTCCCCCTGGCCCCCACCCCTGAGCGGCGGGTGGGGGCCCTAAATTAGAATAAGGGGGGACCTAAAGTCCTTCCCCCGGCCCCCACCATTGAGTGGTGGGTGGAGGCCCTAAATTAGAATAAGGGGGGACCTAATGTTTTTATTTTTTTTATTTTTTATTTTTTTTACAGTGAGCAGCCACAGACTGCTCACTGTATAATAGACATGCCCATACTCGCGGTATAGTGAGTAGGGGCATAATTTACTAGTACTAAGTAATCTTTAGTAACCTTTAGTAACCTTTTAGTAGATAGCTCCCTAATATGGTGGGAATTAGGGAGTTATCTACTTATTCATTCCTGTCATTACATTGACTGTCCAAGTAACTTACATTTTATATAAATGTATGTTACTTGAGTGTTGTAAGTGTTGCAAATGCTTACAGCTGAATCCTGGCTATGTTTGTATACTTTTTATTTAAAATTGTATACAGTGTAACATTCTTTATTCTTCCACTGGGTAAGTATATTAGTTCTTAGGCAATACTGTGCTTCGGAACTTCGGCACTTCAGAACTTCGGCACTTTGACACTTCAGAAATTTGGTAATTTCGGAATTTCGGGACTTCGGCAATTCATCTATTCGGACATTCGGAAGTACCCGAATGTCCGAATTTCCCGAAATTCGTCATAATTCACATTCAGACCGAAACGAATTGCACATGTCTGTTTTTGTCTCTGTTTAAGTTATTTTGAGATGCTAATTTAATATAGTGTACTCTTATGACACATTTAAATGCCGCCCATACTATTGCTTGAGAGAGATCAGAAGTATTTTTCCTTAAAATATAATAATAGCAGATTCCTAATGTGTTCTCTATTTGAATGACTTTAAATCAAACATTCCTTTAGTTTCCACTCAGGTCTTTTTCTAGTAAAATTGTCTTATAATAAATAATAAATACCATATTATGGTCTGACCATGGAATTTCTATAATTTGAGTTTTTTTGACTCTGTCTGTTGTTTCAAAGTCCATTAGAATATAGTCAACGCTCGAGTATGTTAGATGGGATTTTGAGAAGCATGTATAGTCTTTTTCGGTGGGGTGGTAAACATGCCAGGTATTTAGAAGTATCTTGAATCAACGTTTGAAATCTCGTCGCTTGATAGATTGAATTTCTATCTTGTATCTTTCCTATGTGAGATTGTCTAAATGACCCCTGTTTTATTTTAGCAACCCCGTCCCAGAAATTGGATATAAAATTCATGATTGAATGAATTGGAGCATATATGTTGGCCAGTGTATATAAAATCTGG